AAAACGTGCAGGTAAAAAATAAGTGATTTTCCAAAGCTGAACGGCAGAAAGAACATAGTGGTGAAATGTGGTCAGTTTTAAAGTTATGAAGCAGGACATTATGAGGGTAAAAACTGTGAAGTATTTAAAATTTTATTGACTTTGTTAGGGAGCAGACGTTTACTAATATAGTATGCTGCTACAACACGTCTGTCGAAAGTGAGGGAAATTTATTTTTCCTTTTATAGATTGCTTTGGGGAGCAGCTGTAGTCATGTGTTATACCATTCCTGATACGGTGAATTTTTTTTTTATTTTTAATTTTTGTTTTTAAAGCTCTAAATCCCCTATAGCGAGCGTCTGAGTGTCTTTAATAGAAGGACTGTAGCTGCAGTGAGCTCTCATAAGGTAATTCTGTACAAATACTATTCATAATATTCTTATCACTGTTGCCAGAAGAAAAACTCATCTCCAAAATGGTAACTTTACAGGAGAAGGAAAAACATACTTTACTTTTCATGTAAGTCAATGGAACCATTTCTTTTGGTCCATTCATCATGAGATTTACACACAATGTAAAGAGCAACAGGCATTTTCAAATTATGTCAAAAACTGAAAAATGACAAAAATGGAGATACGAGGTTTTGTTCTGACAGCAGCGATGTATTCTTTCCCACTTTGAGTTCATTGTAAATATATCTTGGTTACTTTTTAACAAATGTATTATAAAGATAAACTTGGTCTTGTTCCTGAATAAAACGTGCTGGTTGTTGCATAGAATGCTGGTATGGAGAGAAAAACTGTGTTTAATTGGCAGTTTCCAACTTGTAGAATCCAAAATGGAACCTTCATTTATTTATTTTTATTTCTTTGACTCTCATTGTCTTGATTTTGTCTCCCTGAGGTCTCAGAACATTCATCATTCAGTTTTGCATGTCTTTTATTTATACTTCAGACTTAAAGGACAGTTGCACCGAGTTTTTCTTGTATAATTGTGTGTTTGCGGTTCAGAGTGGTTTGGTGTGAAATGGTTCAGAGGTCTTTACAGTGGTGGTGATAGGAACCAGGGGTCGCCATGACTACAACACAAATATAGACATTTTATTTACTATCCAGAACCACCAGTGAACCTACACGAGTCTTCTGGGTTTATATGGAATGTTGATGATGGAAAATAGTGGAAAATCTGAAATAATAAGTTTTCTTTGGAGACTATTTTGCCTCACAGCACCCTACATATTATGTATCCCTCCACCATGAATGCACTCTAAAAAGTGATGTGTTAAATAACAACACACTAACTTGTGTCTTGTGTAACCCATTTAAACACTTTGTGTCATGAGCTTGTCTGAATTAACACATACCGTGTTAAAAGCAACCCAAAATGTGTCGTCCATAACTGGGTACAGAAATATTTTAACACATTTTGTGTTAAAAGTAACACAAATTGTGTCGTCTCCAGCTGAACATGCTGATGTGTCTGGTTAGAGACAGAATGTGTTGTTTCTTAACACGTATGTTAAGTGGGTGGATTAACATAAATGGATTAACAAGACATTTTAGGCCAAAAGTTTATCACAAATCTATTAATAAATCTATAAAATTTATTTATAAATCTAAAACAACATCAGGCAGTGAATTCATAACCATTTCATGTAGTAACTTTCTGTGAGGGAGCTTTTAGAGGTGGACGTCTGGTTCCTATCACCACCACTGTGAACAATGCTGACTCTATAAGTTTCTCTAGAACGGAGCGTTTCACACCAAACCACTCTGAACGACTCTGTTTGCATCTTAACCATTTAATTATGTGGAATTTTTGAAAATTTGTTGGAGTTCCCCTTTTAAAGGGGCACTCTGACCAAAATGAGAAATGGAACCATCTTTGTAGTGAACATGCCTGATCACCTCTATTGGTGAAAAGTGGTGCTACAACACTCTGTAAAGCAAGTTTAAAGATTAAGAAAACCACCTTCTGATGATGCGTCCTGAAGGTGGGAGGATCTTTCAAAAAACTGTTTGAAAGGGTTTTTTTCCTACTATCTGGCTAATGCAGAAGAAAGCTAGACAGCTAACAGTGCTGTTAGAAAGCCGTCTGTATGCATTAGCCACTACATCAGTGTCTACACTAGCTAGCTGCAATGCATGCTGGGTATTGTAGTAAACATCGATGTCCAGAAACATAGAAAAGATACAAAATTCTGTCAAACAAATTAAGCTGCTGCACTTCAGATTGTTATAACATGACTAATATCAAATGCTCGCTTTAGGGTGGATTGGCCCTTTAAACTGCTTTAAAGATATATTCTAATGAGCTTTGTTCTGATTGGCTGCTCTGGTATTGTGCCTCGTACAGAAAGTAGTCCAGACTAAACACTCCGGCCTGAGTGGGCGAGGCTTACCTGCTGTACACAGTTAAAGATAATGGTTCTTCAAGGGTTCTTTAGTAAAGAAAATAGTCCTGTATAGAACCATGAACACTCAAAGAACCTTCGGCATGATTAAATTGTTCTTCGCATGGTGAAATGGTTCTTCAGATTGATGGAGAATGTGTTGTATATGGTTCTATATGGAACCTTTTTGAAAAAGGTTCTATATAGCACCAAAAAGGTGGTTCTATTGTTACGATGTCAAGCTTGTAACAGTAGAAGCACCCTTTCTGGTGCTGTATAGAACCATTTTCAAAAATGTACAGCACATTCTCTGTCAATCTGAAGAACCATTTGCTGGACATCGTAATGCTAGAAGAACCTTTTTTGGTGCTCTATAGAACCCTTTTCAAAAAGGTCCTATATAGAACCATCTACAGCACATCCTCCATCAATCTGAAGAACTATTTCACCATGCAAAGAACCATTTAAGCATGCAGAGGGTTCTTTAAGTGTTCCTGTTTCTATATAGAACTATTTTCTCTACTAAAGAACCCTTGAAGAACCATCATTTTTAAGTGTGTAGGCTGAGTAGGCCGACGTGCTGCATGTAAATGCACTGCTTTTTGTGACATCACAAAAGCAGCGAAGTCAAAACGGACCGTTTTTGAAGCTCACTTTGCATATACAGGCTGTTTGGTCTGTGGAGAGCGCAGCTTACACTCTACATCAAACTCATTTCCAAAAAAGAGAGAGAGGCCCTGTCCCATTTCTTATTTTTACCCCTACCTCTTGTTTTCGAGTGTCACCCTAACCCCTTGGAACTGAGTTACAGGGTAGTGGTTGAAATCTTCCCTCTGAAATGGGACCCTCAAATAAAAAGAGCATCACTTCATTAACAGCTACCGGCGCTGCTCTGTAGGCGACCCTGCCAGTCTGCAGTGACAGCAGAGGAGGGTAAAGTTCAGCTCCTCACTGCTGGGCTTTAGTTACATTTAGGGCATCATATGCCTTCAAAGAGGGGGGCAATTATTTATTATCACCCACCCCTAATTCTTCAGTGATATGAAGCTGAAGTCAGATATTCGCCAGATTCTTGCTTTGAATTTTCCCGTTCTACCTTAAATGGTGCAGCAGTTACATTCTGGCGCTTAAGGCGTCAGAACAGCTGGACTATTTAAGGTGGAACGGGAAAGTTAGCTGGATAGCTACAGAGACATTAGCGTGCTGTTAACGATGTTTTATGCTTGTTAAGAAAACGACCAAAATACATTGAAACGACATTAAACTAAGATAATAGAGTGGTTATCATAATTTTTTTCTGAGAAAATTCTCACATTTGTGGGTTTCTTTGGTCTCTTGTTCTCCATCTTGCCGTTTTTTCTTTTTTTCTCATAACTCTCTGTTTGGAGTCTCTGAAAAACCTCCGTTTGAAGGGTCATGTAGCTCTAACACTTCGCCCTACCCCTCTATCTCAACAAGAATCAGGACACCCTGCCCCTAGACGTGAACACACAAAACAGAGGGCTAAGGGCTGAGTGGTAGGGGCGAGGGCTGAAATGGGATTGGGCCAAAGTCTGTTTTCAGTGGTATCGGCCCTTTAATGTTCTGCAGTGCATTACAGCCGCACTCAGGTTTTTGCAGCCTGTGCCTCGGCGCGTCTCTGAGGAAAGGAAGTGGGATTAGATTGAGGCCTTGACAGCCGTCTTGCTTAGGAGGAGGATAAAGATTTGGCTGTGAGAGAGATTACAGCAGTTACGATCGACCGATCGGCGGCGCTCCGGTGCAGCCAGTGCTGCTCTGCGGTGAGTGGAGGGCGTATATGATCCACGCTCTCAGCAGTCGGAGGTGCTGTGTGAGAGGCCCGTAGCGCGGCTGGACCCGCAGAGCCGCCGGGCTGTAATTTGATTCCATGGGCTGGTCATGCGCAGGCCAAGGACGTCCTCGCCCTCGGATGAGACGGCAGCATCTATCACTCTTATTGATCGATTGTGGTTGTGTTCTGTGTTTTTAAGGCTCCACTCATCTGTTATCTGTGTGTGATGTAATGCCTTACAGCATCATCACTGAGCCAAACACGACATCCCTCCATCCATCACTGCACGTTTATTCATCGTCATGTTTACCTGCATGTTTGGTTTGAACTGTTTGATTATGAGATTCTAATGTTTCTCTTTATCTTCCTCCCTCCTTTCTCTGGTTCTCTCTTATTTTCGTTTCTTTTCTTTCTATTTCTCTATTTTCTTCATTTTCTTTTCCTGGCATTGTTTCTTTTATCCATATTTCCTTGCTCCCTTCTTTTTTAATTTGTCTTTCTTTTTCCTCCCCCTCTCCATTCCTCTCTGTTTCTTTTTCTTTCTTTCTTTCTCGTGCCCATATCTCACTTCTCTCTCTCCTTCCTTTTTCTCCCTTCTCTCCTTTCTCTCTGGTCTCTCTCCTCTTTCTCTTTCTCTCTTGCTTTTTCTCTCTCTCTCTCCCCTCTATCTTTCTCTCCTTCTCCTCTCTCCTCCTCTTTCTCTCTCTCTTGTTTTCTCTCTGTCTTTCCCTCTTTTTCTCCCTCTCCTCCCTCAACTTTCTCTCACTTTCTCTCGTCTTCTTTTTCTCTCTCTCTCTCTCTCTCTCTCTCTCTCTCTCTCTCTCTCTCTCTCTGTAGTTTATTGAGGCCTATGCGGGGGTCAGCTGTATGGACTCCGTGTGCTGTTTCCCGGAGGGCCGTGGTGGCTGTTCCAGGCTGGCCGCGCTGCTGGAGCAACTGATAGGCCGCTGCGACCCCCGCGCCGCCAGGTGTGACCTCTCTCTCTCTCACTTCTGCTGCAAACAAACCGCCTACAAACTGGAGCGAGAGGAGGCCGCGGTGGAGGAGTGAGAAACGCCCGCTAGAGCAGCTTCAGCGCTTCTGTAGCAGGGAGAAAGGCGGAGGGGGTCCGAGACGGGGCGCCGCTAAACTTGCCTTTAATAGATTTAATAAAGTGATTCTCCTTGATTCGGGAAGTCTCACTGGGATTCCGTCGCTGTCATAAGAAAAAACCTTGTATCTCAGAAACGGCTACTAGCTACAAGTTAGTCCAGTGGATATTCTCTTTCTTTCATTGTTAGGAGTGTTAGCTTTATCCGTTTAAAAATCTGTTAAAGGGACATGAGCTATGAAACCCCCTTCTAATGATGTATCATTATTATTATTATTATTGTTATTATTATTGTTTCATTCATGACAACTGACATAAATCTACAAGGACTACAGCTGTATGCAAAGGTTTGGGGACCCTTGATCAAATACATGTTGATTTTCTAAGTGTAAATAAGTGAATGCAACCTCTATAGAGACTCACTTCTGCACACTTTAATATACAACTACTGTTTATTTACTGAATTTAACACATTGGTGTAAAATAAAACATACAATTCAGTTTGTGTAAAAAAGTTATGGTACATTTTATATTTATTTTATATCTTATTTTTTTCTAATATATTAAAATTGTGTGCCAAAATTTGCAGGAATATGACATACGTAAAGCAGCACTATGTAATATTTTTTGTTAAAACTGAAAAGATAACGCCCAAAAAAGTGAACAGCTGCTGCGCGCCACCCTGTAAAGCCCGAAATAATCATTTACAAATCAGAGATACGGATTTAGCATCATGTCGTACATCTTTGCGTATTACTGTAACATGCAAAAGAAGGTCCGGCTCAATATTTAGGTCTCAAATGATCTCAAAATCGATGTCATATTGATGATATTATTAGATAATTCACTCACATCCTCTGAAGACACGTCCTTCACCAAGTTTAGACTGAGTTCTCTTTGATTTCTCTTTCAACGCACTCGCAAAAGTCAGATTCATCCGCTTGTGGGGGTCCGAAGCTCAACACACGTTACAGAATGTTCTTCCACACGTTGCGTGCAATTACATATTTCCACCAGAGAGGGCTCCAAATCCCCACATCCTGCATAGTGTTGCTTCACGTGTGTTCTCTGTAGCTGTGTTCACTTAGAAAATCAACAGAACGTGTCATCTGATCAGGGGTATTCAAACTTATGCATGCAGCTGTTTAAAGGCTTAATCCAACAGACCTCAGTTCTCAGAACACATGCTGAGGTGAAGTGACATTAAAACAGCCTTTATAACAGCTGACGCTTGTTAGAATTAACTCTTATAAATGTTCGTCTGTTGGTTCGTCTTGAAACGTAACACAGTGTAAAAAAAGGCAGCTGGAATTTTAAAACAATGTTAATAATAAAATGAATTAATAAATAATTAATGAACAAGGTTTTCTTATGACAGCGACGATGCAAGGCTGCAGATGCACTTACGAATTTCTCTAAAGTATCTCTAAAGCCATGAGGATAATCTAACGGACTCTGTCCCTTTCAGCTTTGTGTCTTTTTCGTCCTGTATGTCTTTTCTTCTCCGAGCCGTGTGTCTGGCATGTCTTCTGTGCTCAAGTTTCGCTACAGTTTGTGTGTCTCACTTAACTTTCAGCGCTGCACAGTCAGTGTTGCTGTTCCGAAGATTTGGAAACGTCACTTTGGGTTACAGAGCGCGCATCCAATCACTTTTATGCAAGTTGAATGTTGAACATTAGATGCAGCCTGTTGAGCATCGTCGTTTTAGTGGATCAGAAACGTCACGTCGCCGTCGAATGAAGTCTCGTCTTTTGCATCGCCAAAATGTGTTTGTCTCTCAGTGGACGCGGTTATTGACGGCATGCAGCTGTAACGCACTCGCAAGCCTCTGCTTCCCCGGTCCTTTCCTAGTCTGTGTGTTATCAGCGCTTTGGGAGCCTCTCGAGTGTCCAACAGCTGTGAGACAAGCACCCAGTCTTTTAAAATGCTATTACACTGCCACGCCAGCAGGGGGCGAAGGCTAAGGGTGGGCAATATGACAATGTGGCAGGGACGCAAGGACGCGGGGAGGTGTTTTAAGTTGGGGCGCTAAAATTTTTAGCAGCATATGTGCTAGATATACACAGTGACATCATGCTAAAAGCCGTTTTTTATTTGTTATTTGAATTCTTTGTAGAATTTGCTTCAAACAGAACGTATCGTTATATGCAAACTTCATGCAGATAAGCTGAACATCATCCAATCAGACTTGATTTGAGGCACCTGTCACGCTCACAGTCAACCTACATGCTGAGATTCAATGCTCAGTTACCTCAGCTGGAGATTTTAAGGGCCGATATCCTATATATTATGTATTTTCCCGCTTTTTGTGATGTGATGTACCAAAAATGGTCATAAATCATGTTTACATCACTGTTTTCCATCCTCCCTTTAACCCTTAGAACTGAAAAGGCAGCTGTTACTGTGCCTTTAAGAAAGATATATGTAAATGAGCTGTGTTCTGATAGGATGCAGTGCACTGTGCCTCATTCGAAAAGCACTCAGCCCTGAAACACTCCTTATAACCTCACCATAAGTGGGTGGGGCTAAACTGTGTAGGCGGGATATCTGTAATTGAGTTGTTGTGACATCACAGAAACAGAAACAGGCCGTTTTTGCAGTTTAAATGGCCCAAAATCATAGAAAACACATAATGTATGCACTTAAAAATGATGGTTCTTCTAGGGTTCTTTAGTAAAGAAAATGGTTCTATGTAGAACCATGAACACTCAAACAACGCTTTCCATGATTAAAGGGTTATTTGCATTGTGAAAGGATTCTTCAGATTGAAAAAGAATGTGTAGACAGTTCTGTGTAGAACCTTTTTGAAAAGGGTTCTGTATAGCACCAAAAATTGTTCTTCTATAGTTATGATGTCAGTCTTGTTACAATTGGTGCTGTATAGAACCATTTTCAAAAAGGTTCTATATAGAACCATGTACAGCACATTCTCCATCAATCTGCATTTCATGATGAAAAGAACCCTTTTATCATGCAAAGAGTTCTTTTGAGTGTTCATAGTTCTACACAGAACAGTTTTGTTTGCTAAAGAACCCTTGTAGAACCATAACTTTTAGTGTGTAGTATGTAAACACAGCTAAAGTCTATAACATACTCTAACTTAGCTGCAAAAAAAACAGCCCATTTTTTAAATTAATATTATTTTTGTGATACATCCACCTATTAAGCCTACAGCAGTTTAGCCCCGCCCATTCACACTGAAGTTAAAGGGAGTGTTTCTGAATGAGGCACAAGACAGCCAGTCAGCTCTGTTCTAGGCAAGTAAGAGAAGTTTGGTTTTCCTTGATTCGGGCCCTTTAAAGTTTTTTGAAACAGTATTTTTGAGTTTTTGAGCTAACTTTAACCTTAACTCCGTCATATTCTTTACTTCATAACTTTCATATTTCATAAGCTACATTCTAAAGGTGGGGGTCGTATGAGGCTGTAACTGTCTTCTTTCCAGTCAAATAGATGGGTGATGTAATTTAAACCCTTATAATAAAAGAAGCTGAACTCAATTTTTTTTTCTACTGAAAGTCGACCCATTTTTCCACAAATCTGAGCTATAAACTATAAACAGATGGCGTCTCTTCAGTGATCTGCACTGTAAACATTATTTTATAAAATAATACAAAGAGCGTCTAAGATTTTTGGCTTTCAGCAGTAAATTGTAAGCATATAGCGATATGTGCGATCATAAAACACATGTTCTGTTAATTTAAGGGGAACTTTTACAAAAAACCCCAAAAATTTACATTTATTTCACACAGTTACTGATTAATTTGCCTCACGATTTGGGCACGTAAATTCAGATAGAACAACCGAAATGTACCCACGAGCGTAAGAGGTTAAACAGTTCATGCCTCTTGCGTATTGTAAAAATATAGAAATAATTCAAATTAAAAATACAAAGCAAATACACAATCCACCCTAAAACAGGCACACAGGTCTTAGCTGTGCTCAGAATATTGAAAAACGTTCTGTTTGAATATTATTTTTAGCTGTTGCTATTAAACAGTCCTGAAATCTGGCCGTGCTGCAGCCCCCCAGCCTCCCGCATCCCTGAGGATGTTACCATCACTGTGATAAATTTTCACAGTGCGCTCTTCTGAGTGTATAATTGATATCGTCAGTATGTCTAGAACTCTGAACAACTGCGTTTAACCTGATGAGGAACTGTAGCACACTTTGATTTAACGTCACTACATGATGTTGAGTCTAGTTTCAAATGCATGATCTTATTGTTATCGTTTCAGTATTGTTGCACGAGTTTCATTTTTTAAACATGGCAAACGAAATATCGCAATCCGTATCGTTTCACATAGAAATTTCTTCAGGTATCGTGATATTATTGCCGTATCGCCCACCCTTAAGCGAGCCTTATGTCTCCAGAGCGGGGGGCTTCACTGTAAAGAAGCCCTCGGTGTTTGTTGCCACAGCCAGAAAACAAACAAGGGACCACATCACGAGCGAGAGAGACACTGGAACTGTAGATCTGTCATGTCTGAAAAGGTTCTTCAGTCTTTTTCATTCATTCGTTTGTTTGTTTACTTTATACTTAAAGCCTTACCGAAGACGAAGGGGGGAAATGTCTGTCTGAATGCGGGGGAGGGGCTGCCTTTTCTCTTTTCTACACTTCGTGGGGTTGCTGAGCGGGTGGTAGTGAGTCTGTGTTCCCCCAGAAATGTCACGAGACACTTTTCTCTGCTTTGCTGCTCTTCCTTTGTCCTCCTCACTCTGTTTATCCTGTCTTTCACTGTCAGAAACAGTCCTCCTGGATTAGTAATGTGTTTAAAACCGAACTGTGCTGTTTTCTCTCTTTTAGCAAGGTAGAGAGGAGGTTTGTGTGGTGTTAAGCCAGCGAGCCACATTCTTACTCTACATATACTCATATACCCTCCTATAACCGTATTTAGTCTGCTTTATGAAGTAGTACGGAATGCATAAAGCCTCGACACAAGATCTTAAAACGGTTGTCCTCATCTGAGAGGAACGCTGATTGTGCATGTTTTAACTCCGCCCCTTTCCCCTTACGACGACTATATCCAAAGCCGATATACGCTATTGTATTCATCTTTGTATCCTCGCTCTAGCTCTGCCTGTAGCATGCGTCTAAATATGATAAGATGCGACTTGAAGAGGTTTTTAAAGAAGATTTACGTGCGCCCCCTGGTGGTAGATCATAGCAGCCAGAGGATAATTACTCCGCTCTAATTTTGAAGGGCTGTCCAGATTTTGTAGTAACCCTCTATACGCTTCAGATATTTTTCTATGAGCTGTAAAATATGAGTTTTTAAACATGCACTTGTCTATTTTATTGTATAGATATTCTCAGTTTGGTTTGCTGGCATGGTGCGATATGTGTAGAACAAAGGCTGACGTTTATTTGCAATGGGAATGAATGCGAAGATCAAAGAAGGGAGCTTGTTTTTTTGTGTTTGCATGTCATTTAACCAGTCATGTTAATCCATCCTGCACTAACAAGCCATCTTTCTCATCCCTCCATCAGCTGTGCCTCTTACTGTAGTTGGTGAAAGTATAAGACAGTGAAACTGAGTTATAAATCAGGGTTTGCTCCAGTCAGAGTCCGTGTGGGAGGCAGAAGAGCCCTTCCTGAAGCTACTAGGTTGATTCTGGTCCTTCATTCAGCACAGTCTGGTGATTTCTCCACTCACACGCAACGCTGCATTCAGACGGCGCTCGAATTGCCTCAAGATTGTGAAGTTGCATTCAAGAAGCTGATAAGGCATAAATACTGGTGGTAATCTTGAGCAGGTTACATTCTCTGACACCACATGAATAGAATAGACCAAGCTGAATAGATCAAGTCTTATTTATATTCTTATTTATTTATATTATTTATATAGCGCTTTTTATAACAGGTGTTGTCATAAAGCAGCTTTACAGAAAAAACAATCCAGGTCTGAGCCCCCATGAGCATCGCCAATGGCAACAGTGGCAAGGAGAACCTCCCTAAAAGCAAGTGGAAGAAACTTTGAGAGGAACCAAGACTCAAAAGGGGGGAACCCATCCTCCTCTGGTCGACTCCTCTTGCTTTTAGGGAGTTTATAAATATAAATAATGTATTTATAAAATATGTCTATATAAATAAACAGCACCTTTCTTACACTGTTATCATTCAAAGTGCTTCACAAATGAGAAACTACAGAGTCAGAAAATAGTTGTTGAAAAAAAAACACGAGAATAGAAATTAAAAACATGATTAAAACATGATTAAAACTGTACATATGAAAGATAAACTCTTTAAATAAAAAGCCGAATTAGAAACTAAATTAGGATAGTTACAAAATTAAATTAAAAATAAAAAAAAAAATTAAACAAGCATGCAGTGTCTATGATTAAAAAATGCCACAGCATCGTCAGGAAGGTCAGAGGTTCTATTTTCAAAGGGCTGTCCAGTTACACTCTAACAGATTTTGTAGCCCTCTATACGCTTCTAAATATGAGTTATGAGTTTTTAAACATGCACTTGTGTCTGTGTGTGTGTGTGTGTGTGTGTGTGTGTGTGTACATATATATATATATATATATATATATATATATATATATGCATAGTGCAATATGTGAAAGGTGAATTCATACAATAAAGTGAGTCCAAACTTCTGACCCGTTGTGTATAGGAAGTTCTGTAGATTTGCCCCAAAATATAAGAAATCAAATTTAATCTTCATTTCAGAATCTGAATTAGTATCAAACCTGCTGATGACCACCTGAACGCAAACATATGGTCACTGTTTGGCAATTTAACCTCAAATTCCTTTTTACCAGGTTGAGCAGTTAAATCACCAGACTGAGCTGAACTTAGGTTCCCCTCCAGAATTAAACCAGTGAGTTTAGCGCTAAGCTCATACACAACCACAGTGCCCCTCATACCTCACTGCCGCCTGTCATTGCTGCTTCCAGATCGTGGAGCGACTCGGACCCTTTCTACTCCAACGACCGCAGCATCCTGACGCTTTCACCTGTGGAAGCCACTCACTGCTAGCTCAGCTTCACCCCTCCGTTCCCAAAGAGGAGCCTCTCTCTAACTGGAGCTAACCCGATCTGCCCTGCCCTCACGGCCAGACTGACCCACCCCAGGGGCAGGCGGTCACACTTTGAGACCAGGAGGTCAGCGGTTTCACCCTCCCGAAGGCTTTAATCCGACTTTTATGCACCTGAAACTCTTCTGCTTTTGCACCATGGACCCTTTCATCTTTCCTGAGGAAACCAGCGGTCCGTCTGAAGCCATATTTACCCTCTTATTACCTGATTTTTCAAGGTACGAAAGGCCAGAGCAGTGTAGCGTTAGCTGACTTTGAAGAAAGTGTCCTCGGAGACGCCTACCCGTCTCGCACTCAGCCATGAAGTAAGGACGTCCCTCTAGCGCCTCCCGAAGGAGAAACTGACATCAGCTTCGGCTTCACTGACTAACCTTCGCCTGCCTGTAGCTCTCGTTCCTCTCGCACACTGAAAGCTTTAACTCGTCTCATATTCATCGTCATCTCTGAACTAACGTGTCATTGCTGTTCTTTTGTTCCATTTGTTTGTTGTTACTAACCATTTGTTGACTTTTTATTGTTGTGTGTGTTTTTGTTTGTTTGCTCATCTCCCCGAGCGAGGCTGTAGCCTGCATGCGGTCCTGCAGCTCTCCTCAGCTTTTTAGAGGCCTTTTTTTGGGTTCCTTTGACTGAAAGTCCTCCCCCAGCTGCACGGGGGCCGGATGAGCGTCACTGAGACAACCGTTTTAAACTTGCTTCACTCTGCTCAGATGCATGCTCCATTTGCAGTAGAAATAACCGGTAACCCTCTACATGTGGCTACAGTGAGCTGGACCTGTGAAGACCCTCTTCTGGAGGGTTTTATGATGTATCGCACTTTCTTACAGTGAGATTGCTGATCTGAGATATTCAGTATATTCTCACTGTCATATCAAAGCCAGGAACTCATTTTTGTTTTCTGTTTAAAAGTGTCAGCTGTCCTCCGAATTTTCAAAATTCCCCCATAACTGAGTGTCTGAGGTGTAATCAGAGTGATTCAGAGTGGTTTGGTGTGAAATGGTTCAGGTGTCTTTACAGTGGTGGTGATAGGAACCAGGGGTCGCCATGACTACAACACAAATATAGACATTTAATTTTTTTATATGCTATCTTTGGGGACTATTTTGCCTCATGGCACCCTGCATGTATCCCTCCACCAGGAATGGATTTAAAAAACGTACATTTTAAACCTAAACCTTCTCAAAACTATCATAAAACAGTGTCTCACTCATCAGGCAGTGAATTCAGAACCATTTCATGTAGGAACTTTCTGTGAGGGAGCTTTTAGAGGTGGACGTCTGGTTCCTATCACCACCACTGTGAACAGTTCTAAGTTTCTCTAGAACAGAGCGTTTCACACCAGACCACTCTGAACGACTCTGTTTACATCTCAACCACTGAAGTATGCATACCTTTTGAAAATTTGGTGGAATTCCCCTGCGAAGTTATCATTTTGTTTAAATATGATACCTCAATCTCTGAAATGGTGAGTTTAAAGAAAGAGGAAAGAACATTCATAACTTTAATGTACTTTTGTGCTGTTGATCCATTATGAAAATGCTAAGGTAAAAAAAACTAAATTAACAAATAGTGGAAAAATGAAAGAGTGGAGGTTTTGATATGACAGCGATGAAATTCTCTCCTATGAATATATAATATATTCATATGGAGAAGTATATAATGAGCCTGTCCATACATACGGAGCCAGTGAAGCGTCTGAAATGAGTCACAGAAGGACACTTTATTTGAAACGCATTAATGAAAAAACGGTACAAAAGTGTGTTTGTTTTTTTTTCCTTTGTTACTTTCATTGGGAGAAAGTTACATTTGCATATCAGACGAGGAATTGTAATTATTTTTCTATCGGGTGCATCTCTTCACTCTGTCTCGCTCTTCTGTTTGTTGAATTTGTCATTTTTCACGTCGGCCTTTTTCCCCAAACGACAAATGAAAACGTTCTGTATGATGTTCTATCAGCTGTCGGTTATGGTTCATTTAAAAAATAAAAAAAAAAAAAGTTTTTTTTTTGTTGTGAAGTCAGACAGTCGCTGGCTGTTCTGCTATAAAGTACACTCTTAAAAAAAGATGGTTCCTCAAGGGTTCTTTAGTAAAGAAAATGGTTCTACATAGAACCATGAACACTCGAACGCTTTGCATGATTGCAAGGGTTCTTTGATGGAGAATGTGCTGTAGATGGTTCCGTACAGAATCTTTTTAAAAAGGGTTCCATATAGCACCTAAAAGGGTTCTTGTATTGATACAATGTCAAGCCTGTAACAATAAAAGAACCCTTTTGGTGCTATATAGAACCCTTTTCAAAAAAAGTTCTGTATTGAACCACCTACAGCACATTCTGAAGAACCCTTTCATGATTTAATCATACAAAGGGTTCTTTGAGTGTTTATAGTTTTTATAGAACCATTCTTTACCGAAGAACCCTTGAAGAACCGCCTTTTTGAGAGCGTACGCTGCAGATCAGTGTACCGTGTAGCACCGCAGTCGGCCGCGTCTGTTCCTCAAAGAAACATTAGCAATAAGAATCTCTCTGGACCGGCCGAAGTCCAGTCCAGCTGTGATGTCAGTTCATTTCGTGTTTTATTTCCATCAAAACAGAAACGTTACTGTAACTGTAACTGTCCTCTCCTCACAGTGAAAGTGTTGAATTGCTGATGTTTATGAAAATTCTATTTACAGAATAAACGAGTTTTTAAAAAAAACAAACAGTACTCGAGTGTTTGTGCTTCTGCAGGAGTGAAGGTAGGAGAACCAGAACAGCTGCTCTAATGGAGAACCACGAGGCTCCTATCGGCCTTTCATTTTAATAACTGTGCACTAATTACCCTGCGTGGCCTGTGCAGTCGCAGAACCTGCTCTAAAAACTTTACTACTTTTAGAGACACTTAAAGAACCTGAATTCTGATTTATATTTTTAAACAATGGTTTGAGTTAATATCGTTAAGTAATATCTCCAAAACTGTAAAAAAACAGTCTTAAGTTTCAGTTGATGTACAGAGATTTGAAGTGATTCTGGATTCTTTTTTGAAGCTATTAGATCATGGAGTTTTCAGGGCAAATAGTACAGATAATATTAGAGTTACTTATAAATGTCCAGACTCTGGGCAGCGACAGAGAACTGCCATGTTCAAATAATGTAGAAAAGTAATCAACAAAAACAGAAAAAAGTCACAGTTTTTTGATGTCAAAACCGACGCATTTACTAAGAATGCGCAGCTGGAATCGGCAGATTTTTGCTCCAAACAGGCAACTAATGATTTGGATTTTGGTTGATCTCTGTTGCGGTTTTATGAGGTAAATAACGAGAGGCAGACACACTGTATTATTGCGTGGGAATGAGATAATTATGCCTTGACCACAGCTTAATAAGGCATGATCTTGTTCCCACACCTTACTAAGTCGTCGCCACAACTTCTCATTCCCATGCCTTAGTAAGTTGTGGCCAAGACTTAATTATCTTATTCCGATGCCTTACTGATTATGGCCACGGATTAGGATCTCATTCCCATGCCTTAGTAAGTTGTGGCCATGACTTAATTATCTTATTCCGATGCCTTACTGATTATGGCCACGGATTAGGATCTCGTTCCCATGCCTTAGTAAGTCATCGCCACGACTTAGTAAAGCATGGGAACAAGATCCTAATGCGTGGCCATGACTTAGTAAGGCATGGGAATGAGATAAGTAAGTCTTGACCACAGTTTAATAAGGCATGATCTCGTCCCCACACCTTAACGTGCAGACCGAGATAAAGTCATGGCCACACATTATGATCTCATTCCCACGTGTTAATATAACGTGGCCCCAGGATGTCCCCAGCAGAGCTCTGTACCTATGAAATAGGATTTCCTGTTTAAATGAGGCCAAAACATCCTCCCTGTAGGAACACTGACTGTATTCACAGTCGGTGTTTTAGGGCAGCAGATAGTATCAATATGAAAAAAGACATTTGAAATGCAAAATACTGCACTAAAACAGGACAACAGGACAGTTCAGAAATCCTCCCACAGTCCAAAGACATTCAGTCAGGCCAACTGGAGATACCAAACTGCCCCGTGTGTGTGTGTGTGTGTGTTGTAGTGCTATACTTGTGAGGACCCTATGTCCTCACTATGATAGGACTTTTGTGTTGTTTTCACCACAATTACTTTATTTGAAAACTAAAAGAGCAGAAAAATTGCCTTTTGGATGTTAAGGTTAAGGTTAGGTTTAGGTTTAGTATTACTTAGCTATAGTAACACAAAAATCAATAGAAACCTATGGAAGTCCTCATATGTATAGCAAGACAAACGTGTGTGTGTGTGTGTGTGTGTGTGTCCTGTGATGGACTGGTAGCCTGTCCAGGATGTTTCCTGCCTTCTGCCCAGTGAGCGCTGGGATAGGCTCCAGTACCCAGAAGGGTAAGCGTGTCAGATGCGCGAGTTAGTGATAAATAAACATGAAAATGTTTTGATTGACAGTCCAGTTTTTACTTGTCCTTCACTTACAGAGTCAATCAAAGCAACAAGTCAGGAGTGAACGATGACCGGGTCGACAGTGGCAGCAGCAAAAAATTCTAGTGTTAGAGTAAAACCAAGACATGTTTGGTCTTGGCGAGTGTTTCTCTGCTTATTTATTAAATTTTTTTATTATTATTATTCTTTTTTTGGAAACAGTCATTTCTCTGTTACTTATCTTGGATGAAATCTATACCCAGAAATATCTGTCAAGAAAGAAAAATGTCTTTAAAGGAACAATAACTAACATATTTAAAATAAAGAGGCACAAGACGAGCGTCAAACTGAAGCCCCACATACAAACCATGGAGAACAACACAGACAGGAAAACATCGGCTAGAACACTCAAGGGCAGCTCATAAAGCAGGAAAGTGAGATTTCAAAAGACATCTGAGAAAAAAATGACGTTAACCAATAGTGTAGTGTGAGAACCTAAAGGGGAATTCCACCAATTTTTCAAATTTTCTGCATAACTCAGTGTGTGAGGTGTAAACAGAGTGATTCAGAGTGATTTGGTGTGAAATGGTTCAGATGTCTTTACAGTGGTGGTGATAGGAACCAGGGGTCGCCATGACTACAACACAAATATAGACATTTTATTTACTATCCAGAACCACCAGTGAACCTACACGAGTCTTCTGAGTTTATATGGAATGTTGATGATGGAAAATAGTGGAAAATCTGAAATAATAAGTTTTCTTTGGGGACCATTTTGCCTCACAGTGCCCTACATGTGTCCTTCCACCATGAATGGAAGAAAATAAATTGATTTAAGTATGTTTTAGATCATAAAAACAGCGTCTCAGACCTAAGGCAGCATATTCATATTGTGTGTGAACAATTCTGACTCAGTAAGTTTCTCTAGAACGGAGCGTTTCACACCAAACCACTCTGAACGACTCTGTTTACATCTTAACTGTTTAATTATGCAGAAATTTAGAAAAATTGGTGGAGGTTCCTTTTGAGTGTAATCCTCCAGAATCACTGCCAGAACCCCTCAGCTCATTAACTAAAGTTAATAACTATTAACGGTGCTGCAGAGGAATCTGACCCAGCTTAGTGATTTCTCTGCTCTAACACACCTGACTCAGTCCAGCGGTTATAAGCAGGGCTGCAGCGTATATCATCTCTTTATTACTATCATAATGTTTCCTTATGCACTACTGATGTCACAAAAGGCTGTAATATGAGCCCTTTAAGCAGTCACTGCTTTTTTGTGTGCTGTGAGCGTCCTGACCAATCACGGTTCCAGTATTCTTCATAACTATTTACATATCTAACAATGTCAATACGTAAACATTTATAAGAAGTAGAAACTGAGAGAAGACCTGCCTGAATGAATCATGAATGCAGATGTTTTAGTTCAGTAACCCGAAGTCACCTAAACGTTCTGCTCGTGTGGATCAATAAACACTCATCAGATGTCAGTCTGGATTATCTGTCCGATGCGGATATATTTTTTAAGCAAATATCTGCTGGTCCTGATATGATTCCGATCATCGCGCATCCCTAGTTTTAATGTACATGTTTAATATTTGTGTGTTTTATATTGCAAAACATATCACAATACACAACAACAGTCACACTGGTGTTGTGTACAGTCATGCTGCCCTGGTTGCCAGGTTTAATAGGTGTACTTGAGCATAAAAATCCCCAAACTGGGCTGGATTTCAGCCCTTAAGGACCAGAATTACTCAGAACATCCTCCTAAAACATCTTCAGCCCCTCCTGCAGGCTCAGGATTGTGACTCGTCCTCCGACGACTCTTCCTCCTCCAGCTCCACCAGTGCCGCGTGCCGATTGGCCTGCGATCCCTCTCTGAAGAGAACCTTCTTAATGACGCCGGCTTTAGGAGCTCGGATGGTGTGCTGTAAGGAAAGAAGACCGGATCAGTGGGAGAGGCAGGAGTGAATATGGACTGAACAGTAGAGCTGGACCCCGACATTCAACTGATCGGATATTCGTTCGTTGGCGAGATAATCCCAATAATTTTGGGATTAGGATTTTTGTTTTTTGGTGTTTTTTTGGCTAAATGTAGGATATCAGTAAAGCTGAACTGCAAGGCACTGTAACATTCGGGGTTCTGTGGAGGAACGTTTCGTTTCAGTGCTTCGGTATTTTTAATTTGCTGAAAACAGAGCCGAACACGGCGAAAACAAACAGCCTCTCCAGCTCAAACAGCCAAAAACCCTTCACTCTACTCCGGAAACCCCACCACTCCCGCCACATTCAGGCTCTTCAACATAAAAGTCCTTGTATGAGTGAACCTAAGACAGCGCGGTTTACATTTTGTCAGCACGTTCTTGTCTGTTTATTATCAGATGTGCTTTCAACACAGGTGTGGGGTGTGAATTTTCATAACAATGAAAATACTTTTTTTTTCATTTTATTACATTTTACATTAGATTATTTATTTTTTAGATGTATTTTTTGTAATTATATTTATTTGATTTTAATTTAATGGTTTTCTCTTTTAGATCTTGTTTTAATCAAGGTTTCCATTTCTATTCTCCTTTACTTTTTAAATGACTTTTCTTGTATGTAAAGCACTTTGAATGATGTATAAAAGGAGCTCTATGAATAAACTTGCCTTGTATTAATGCTTTTTAGTGGAAATATACCATCTCAGCTCGGGTGTCTGCCATCTCGCTCACTCACAGTGCTGGACAACAAAACCTATAAAAACTGAAAGCATGTGTACTTTAAGATGCTTGTGTAGTTGTATATCCACACAGCAAATCTATTTAAGTGTGTGTACACTGTTAAATGTGTATGTGTATCTGATGTTGTGTACTATGTTTTGCCTTCATTTAAAAATAAAATGAAAAAAAAAACAAACATGGTATTCAGCATGTGTTCTCAGCACAGCTGCAAACAGCGCCCCGCCGTTCTGGACCCTCATTAGTTCCTTGAATGTTGCCCTTCGTATCTCGAGTTAGACCACCTCCGTGAAGTGCTGGTTAACCCGTGCATGCATTTTTACAATTTATTACATTTTATCTTAGATTTAAATTCATAAAAATATTTTTTTAAACAAAATGTAAAAAAACAAAAATAAAAATTTTAAAACTTTACATTTTTCTTCAATTTCTTGAATTTTATATATAAATTTATAAAATTCTTTAATTTTCTTTAATTTATACTGAATAATGAATAATTATAATGAATACTGACTGTCGATTACTGCTGAAGCTCCAGAGCCCAAAAATCAGTATTCAGGACAGGCGTACTGACATGGGAAGATCTCAGCTTACCTCCATTTTCATGGCAATCATCACCACCAGAGGGTCTCCCTTCTGGACGGTGTCTCCTGGCTTCACGAGGACCTGCAGACACAGCGTGAAGAACATCAGAAACATAGTTCACTGTTAAAGTAACGGCTCAGTAAAATATCAAACAAGACAGTAGTGCTGATGTGATCTTAGACTCTGAGCTCTGTTTTATCTGCATGTAAAAACAGTCACTAAAGCAGCTTTTTATCATGTGAGAAAATCACTGAAGTTCAGCCTTTTCTCTCTCAGAGCGACGCAGAGAAACTCGTTGCTGTGTTTGTTCAGCAGAGTTGATCACTGTAATGATCTTCTAACTGGAGAAAACAGTCCATCCTCTAGAACCCGTACAGAACACAGCAGCACGGCTCCTCACAGCCCCAACACAGAGAGCTCATATCACCCCGTTACACACTGCACTGACCGCCTGGATCTGTTAGAGTTTAAAGCTCTGCTGATGGTTTTTAAAGCTCTAAATGACCTTAAAGCTCCTGAACGTCTGTTTATGATCTCAGATCTGCAGATTCTGACCTTCAGCTTTTATTAGACAGTCGAGCTCAGAGCTCACTTTTAATGAACACCTGAAAACGCAGCTCTTTATCTCAGCGCTGCATTAAAACTCTACGGCTCTGTGGTGTTTATCTGTCTAATCTGATCTGCGTTATTGTCTTATATGATTTTACATTAACACTCATAGTTTCTTCTATTACTGCTGAGCTTTATCTCGTGTCTGTAAAGCACCTTTAGCTGCATTCACCAGCACGAAAAGTGCTCTATAACTAAAGATTATTATTTATTAACTATTATTACCACCGTAAACACATAATGGAAGCTTACAGCCGATTAGCATTCTGCCTCTATATGACAATTTTAACTATAAACAAAATGTAGTTTTTTTTTTCCAGATTTAATCATGCAGTTAGCACTATGCTAATTGGTGGGGTATTAGATTCCATTACTTGTTAGCTACTTTAGCCTCAGAGCTGCAGGGTTCAAAATTCAGACACCAATAATATCAATAATATTGAATTCTGCACTTTTTCTTCTGTATTCTTGAATGTCTACAGCAGAGGGTTATGTTACAGTACCTTCTCAATGGTGCCAGTCATGGGTGCCACAGCGCCATCCTGTGCCCCTGAGCTGCTCACACCAGCCAGGAACTTGGGCAAAGGCACATCCACCTGGGCACTGCCCTCCTGCAGTGACAGGACCAAATACAGGTCAAAAACCAGAGATTCTCTACGTCACTTCTGTTCTCACTGCTCTGATACGGCTAGATCACAAACAGAGCTGCAGTCGGTGGTTATTTCTATTAGGGATGCATCAATGCCGATATAAACACATTAGGAAAATGTAGAAACTGGGACTAAATCTACAACCCCATTTCCAAAAAAGTTGGGACGCTGTGCAAAATGTAAATAAAACCAAAATGTAATGATGTGCAAAACATTTAAACCCTATATTTAATTGAAAATACTACAAAGACAACAAATGAAATGTTGAAACTGAGAAATTCTATTGTTTTTTGAAAAATATTTGCCCTTTTTGAATTTGATGCCAACAACACGTTCCAAAAAAGTTGGGACGGGGGCAACAAAAGGAAGGTAAAGTTGTGTAATGCTAAAAAAACACCTGGTGGTTGATTGACAACAGGCCAGTAACATGACTGGGTATAAAAAAGTATCCCAGAGAGGAAATGGGGTTGTACCCTGATTAGCATTTATTTCTGTATGTTTACAAATGCAGTAAAATGAATAAAATGCAAATCGTTCGGCTCCTCTGGTGTTCAGTAAATACAGCAGTTTGAAATACCAGTCATATCTAAACACCTTCACAATTATCTGCTGCCAAATTTGATTCATTCTGCAGTTTTGTTCACTTGCAGTGGAAGAATCGAAGCAGAGTGACTGTGTGGATCATATGAACATTATAGAGCTTTTTAAATGAAACAGTAGAAGCCATATCGCCCCCTACACTTCCTGTAGTGTATTACAGTCTGTCAGAGTGACTGTGTGGATCATATGAACATTATAGAGCTTTTTAAATGAAACAGTAGAAGCCATATCGCCCCCTACACTTCCTGTAGTGTATTACAGTCTGTCAGAATGACTGTGTGGATCATATGAACATTATAGAGCTTTTTAAATGAAACAGTAGAAGCCATATCGCCCCCTACACTTCCTGTAGCGTATTACAGTCTGTCAGAGTGACTGTGTGGATCATATGAACATTATAGAGCTTTTTAAATGAAACAGTAGAAGCCATATCGCCCCCTACACTTCCTGTAGTGTATTACAGTCTGTCAGAGTGACTGTGTGGATCATATGAACAGTATAGAGGCTTTTTAAATGAAACAGTAGAAGCCATATCGCCCCCTACACTTCCTGTAGTGTATTACAGTCTGTCAGAATGGCCATACAAACATTACACTGTTCTAAAGTGAATGAAGCATCAACCTCTTCCCATAATCCTCATCACTGATTAATCATTGTAGCCCTAATACAACAGCCAATGAAACATGAACACTACCGGTTTTGATGAAGGAAACCCACCATAGAGAAGAGGTGGACTTCGTTGTCCACAATGACCAATTTGGGTCGAGACAAAACTCCATTCACACAGCAGCGCAGGTACGTGGCTCCGCCCTCCTTCTGCAGCTCACCTGAGACCTGGAACACCTGACCTCCAATCTAACAACACAAACAAGCCAAGTTACTACTGATAGGTTTGTGCTAATTATGAATTAATTGAGAAAATGTTCAGTTTGTGTTTGTTAAATTAAGAAAAAAATAAACTGACTATATAAATCAGGGCAAAATCTTGTATCCAGACTTCTGTTGGTTTTTGCTTTTACAAGAACTTCACGATGACTGGACAAACAAAAATGCTCCAAAATTACTTGGAACTTCTACGTTAATGTTCATTGATAATGATTATTAATTAATTATTAATCAGTTAATGATTATTTCTTTTAGGGATGCACCAATTCCAAAATAAACACATCTAGAAACATACATTTAGCAAAATCCTGGTATTCAAATTTCTGTTGTTTTTTTTTTACAAGAATTTGGAAATGTCAGGTGCCTTTTACGTTGAGTTAAGATTTCATGATGAACAGAAATGCTCCAAAATTACTTGGACAAAAACCTTTCATTAACTTCTATTCTAAGTTAATGCTGCTTTTCTTTCTCCTGTGAAGTTGCCATTTTAGAAATACAAGATTTTGTCCCAACAGTGATCATATGATTAAAAACCTGAGAGCAAAAGACACTTTTAGCACTTTTCAAAGTTAAATAAAACTTAATTTCATTGTTTTTTTATATTTACCCAGAGGAAAAATCTCTTCATTAGATTGTCTTAGACAAATAAAGCAGATCTCAACATTATATTAATGAAGGATCACTGATTTCTGAGTTGTTTCTCCTGAACCTCCTCAGGAGAAAAGAGGAGATTAACATCAGCGTCTCACTGTGAGACGTTCTGGTGATGAAGGAGAAAAGCGTGAGTTCTCCTTCTGCACTGACAGACTGCTGAGAGGGTTCTGTGATCTAGAACAGAGCTGAATAAGAGAACGATGAGATCTCACACTTTTCTTATGGAGATATTACTCAGCTGAGGCTGGGCTGAGACGAGGCAGACGCTAAAGAGTTGATCCACACGTGTGACAACATTTTGATCAAAGTGAGAAAATCTGAGTTTTATTTCTCAGGAGCTGAATTTCAGAAACAGGAGAAAACGGCTAAAGTCTCACTCTGATCTCAATCTGGACTTAACTGTGTCTAGGAGAGGAACCTGAGATCTAGAGGAGATCTCATTTAGAGTATTTCTTTCCTCTGGGTAGTCTCCCCTCTCTGTTTTAAAATTCCTAGCTATATACATAAAAATATTATTATTACTACTGAATTTTAATTACAATAACTGATCCTACGCTGCACAAAATGGTATCTTGTCAATTAAACTTATCTTAAATATAGTCAATAAATATTTCTCTAGTTGGGATTGTTGTAAGCTTAATTTAAGATTATTTTTACCTCATTTCTAGACGTTTTACTTGTTTTGAGTCATTTTATCAAGTATAATTATCTCACTACATTGGCAAATCATTTTGCTTGTTTTAAAAAATGTGCTTGAAACCAGCCAAATTATCTGCCACTGTAGTATTTTACTTAATAAAATGACCTAAAACAAGTAAGTGAGGTCTAGAAATCAGCTGGATAATCTTATAATAAGTGCACAACTATCTCAATATGAGAAATAACAGATATATCGACTAGATTTAGGATCGTTTCACTTGGCAAGACACCACTTTTTGCAGGGTATTATTGCGGCTCCATACCTCCACGCCGTACGTCCCGTCTGGGTTGTATGTAACAGCCACTGCCACCTCTGCAAAAACATCAGATTCCATCATCGACTTCATTAATAACGTCTCTGTATCGCACACTGAATCAGATCTGTTCTACTCGAGCAGCAGAGCAGATCTATAAAAAAATCATTCAGCATGATCGATACCCTCTCTCACACACATTAGAGCTCATCTATAATGCAGACGAACATGCTATTCCAGGAAAACCTGCCTTACTTTCCTGACATGTAGAAGAATGGAGGGGTGTATTTTAATCAGCATAATCGATCATACGTGCATAAAAAGACATCGGTACAGTTCCTACAGTGCGTTCTCTAACTCCGCAGCCCAGAACCCGAAGCAAAGAGCAGAACTCACAATTTAAAACACTTTCCTGTCAAGATGATGAGACTGGGAACATCTTTGATGCGTGACGGATGTCATTTCATTAACTATTTCATTTTTTTATCATGTAATCATGAACGCCATCTCACATATCATAACCTAGTTGTGTTTAATATAGAAAATTATAATAGTTTTTTTAACAACTATATATATATATATATATATATATATATATATATATATTAGCTTAAAGCTAACAATGGGGTGCTTTCCACATTCCTCACACTGTGTTTAACATTTACCAAAATTTACCAGATTTACCAAAAGCACGAAGCTTGTAAGACATTCCAGTAATATATTCTTAACTTTATTTTGCAGTTTTACAGTGAATCTTCAGTAAATACTTGCTGAAATGCACTGCCCTGCAAAAATGGTAACTTGACAGGTGAAATTATCTCAAATCTAGTTAATACTGCTACACCTCCATCGTCCCTGATTGGTCAGAAGCTCATTCTGACTGGTCTAAGAGCTGTTACCGATCTGAAATCCCGAACTAAATCGGCCCTGGAGCAGGACAGATGTGCAGTATAAGCTGCCATGAGACAGTAAACCCAGGGTTAGACTGAACTAAGCTTAAAATGAGCTGGTTAGGCAAGAAATCCTGCTCCATGAGCTCCGGTCTCAGCGTTCGGCTCTGAACCCGAGTGCAGGGGTTCTGTTTGTGTGTTTGTGTTTATACTGGACACTCACTGTTTTCCCCCAGCTGCAGCGTCAGGTTCCTGCTGAAGAGCACGTTGAGCCGGCTCCCGTCACTCGAGCCAAAAGGTGAATAAACATCTGCAACAGAAACGGTAGCGGTCAGCGAGGATTCCAGTTACCTTCGTCCACATCAGAGGATTCCAGTCTCTTCCTTGAGTCTCACCCACTTCATGTTTTATTGTTCTTGTCTAGCTTCTCAAACACCTGGGCCAGGTAACCAAGGCCTGTAAAACACTCATCATCTGTCTCAGGTGTGAGAAAAAAATGTGCAGGAGACAAAATAACGCAGAGTAAAATGTAATACTGATGTAATAACGCAGATATGTAATATGGCTAAACAGGGTTCAGTTGAATGTATTTTAATCGTGTTCTCATAGCAACATTTTTCAGTTTGACCCCATTCACACCCGGTCACTTCATGCGTTTTGAGTATCAGGATTATATCTGGATGAGGCCAAACCACATAAAAACACAAGGGTAAAGTCACCCAAGACGCATTTAGAACAGATTCAGATCTGATCACTCAAACCACTTCAGGAGGTGGACTGAGATGCATTTGAGCCGCATGTTACAGCAGCGTAAACACATCCGTCTATCTGAGACACACAGTGTGTCCCAATTCAGGGGCTGGACCCTTCAAAGGATGTGGTCTACAAAGCCGCATCCTCTGAAGGCTGCTTAGACCCGCGAAGGCTGAACTGAAATGAGACTGTCTGCTCTACGGCGGATTTTCTGTTTGAGTCACTGTCCCGCTCTTAGCACCGCGTCACGAAACGCTGCTCCTGTCAAGTTCTTTTAAAGTTCTTTAAAGAACCAGAAACTTTAATTTTAGCTGGTTTTTTTATTTATTAGAGCTGGAGATTCTTCACTGCTGGCTACTACTGAGATTATATTTGTATCATTAGCCTTTCGCCTCAGTTTAAACCCAATACTTACATTCATATATATTTAACTTATATTTTAAAGTGTCTCTTCAGCCACCATTCGCTTCTCTGTTGATGCTGCCATGTTCTCGAATCCTCACCGGCACACAGTGAACCTCGGGATATGTTGGCTGTCGAAGGATCAACCCGTTTCTCTGCCGATTATGAAGCAGCCTTCAAAATGGGACAGCCTAGTCGCCACTGTGACGCAATCGGCCTTCAAATGCAGCCTCCAAAGGACGCAGCCCCTGAATTGGGACACACTGACAGTACAACCTCACAATACAACTAAAACCCCTCCCACTATAAACAAATCCCCTCCTGTACAACCGAAACTCCTCCCAGTACAACTGAAACACCTCCCAGATGCTAATCACATGAAGTGGCCAGGTGTAAACAGGGTCTTTTGTACCATAAAAGTACATATTTTCATCTGTTTTTGATTTCTAAATATAAGTCACAGAATTCACTCCTATATTATTTTAATCTCCTCTTGCTGTCTGCAATACAGCAGCGTTTGGAAGCAGATAATCAGCAGTGACAGCCAGACAGGCTGAAGTACAGCCTCCACACGGAGGTGGCGGGGAGGAGTTTATATGGAATGTTGATGACGATAAAATGATAAAAAACATATTTTAGGCCAAAACTATCGTAAAACATATACTGACCTATTGAGATGTGATAAAACTGATTATTGGCTCACGTTCAGACTTTTTCAGCACTTTTCCAAAGTTATTAAAATACCTTGTTACCATAATGTGTTGACCGTAAATAGTATTTGTTGTTTTAACTTAAACAAGGAAATAACAAACATTGTCTACAGTGAGTTAAAGGGGAATTCCACCCATTTTTTATTTTTGCATAACTCAGTCATTTACTAATCAGAGAGATTCAGAGTGGTTTGGTGTGAAATGGTTCAGATGTCTTTACAGTGGTGGTGATAGGAACCAGGGGTCGCCATGACTGCAACACAAATATAGACATTTTATTTACTATCCAGAACCACCAGTGAACCTACACGAGTCTTCTGAGTTTATATGGAATGTTGATGATGGAAAATAGTGGAAAATCTGAAATAATACGTTTTCTTTGCCTTGCAGACCAAAACCTTCACAAAACTATAGAATTTCATGTAGGAACTTTCTGTGAGGGAGCTTTTAGAGGTGGACGTCTGGTTCCTATCACCACCACTGTGAACAATTCTGACTTGATAAGTTTTTCTAAAACTGAGCGTTTCACACCAAACCACTCTGAATGACTCTGTTTACATCTTAAACATTTAATTAAGTGAAAATTTTGAAAAATCGATGAACGATAATATCCATATCGGCGTCAGTTTCCATATCAGTCTCACTACATTTTACAGATGCATCTTTTTTGTGCAGGTTATTTGGCCTCCACAGATAATATCAAACTATGTATATGCATGTGCTGGAAAACATGTGCATGTAATAGATCAGACAGACAGCAGTGTGGACTGTGTGTGATTTCTAACCGTCTGACTGCCGTGCAAATTCCTGCGTGTGCTCTCTCTCGCGAAGCAGCAGACCCAGCGCTGCCTGGCAGGCCTCCTCTGCTGTAGGGGGCACTGCGGGTGGGAAAAGCTGTTCGTAATGCTGTGGGATGAAGCTGGTATGCACGTTCCCCGCATCAAACTCAGGATGTCCCGACAGATTCAGCAGGAAATCTATATTAGTGCTGAGACCTACAATCTGAGAGCAGAGGATGATATTAAAACACAGAGGCAGATGATTTAGAGTCACTGTGAGATATAATAATGTGTGACTGCTTTAAAGGGGAATGTCACCATTTTTTTTAATTTCTGCCTGATTAAATGGTTAAGATGAAATCAAATTGATAAACTTGTTCAACCTAATCTCTATCTGCCACATCTATAGCTGTTGACTGATAACCATAAACAATCATCTTTACGTTTCCCTGTAAAAGAACAGAAAAGCTGTTGCCTCATAACACTGTCACAGAAGCCAGTGGGCAGCTGCTGAAGCATAAACATTTATCAGATCAAATATTAAACTGAAAAACACTGGAGTCTCTCAGGCTTGTTTCAGAGCAGTTGTAATGAGTGATGTTCTCCAGCAGAGGGCAGACTTACATTGTACTGCCGTAAGCAGTAGCGGAGCTTCTTCAGTGCAGCGGAGCGATCCTCCCCCCATACCACCAGCTTAGCAATCATGGGGTCGTAATGAGCAGAAACCTCATCTCCTAAAACACAGACGCAAAGAGAACTCGGCTCAGTGAGTCCAGAAAAGATGTCCCACTTTTTATGACGAGGAATTCATGCCAAGTTGAAAAGCTTCCACTACAGAGGAAAAACGTGAAATGCAATGAACATTTTCCATGGTGACGGGCAGAATGCATGTCAAAAAAGAAAAGCAAAACCTCTACTGCTGAAATAACGTTGGAACCAAACACAATCTTCAAAATGTAATCAATGCACAGCTATACTGCTTTCCATCGTGCAGTACTTAAAACGTACACCTCAGTAAAATGTGATCACAACAGTGAAAAAGTGAAACGCAGTGCACGAGATTGCATTTAAACAGTGATGTGCAGAAAATTTAAATGTTGTTTGACGTATAGCGCGGTGAAAAGCAACAAAGCTGTGCACTGATTACACTTGAAGGTAGATTGTGTCCAATTCTGACACCAGTGCAGCTTTTTGTTTTTTGAATGAAAGTTTTTCTGTGAAGATTTCAAGCAACATGAAATCAGTGCACTTTATGTTTGGCTTTTGATTTTGACACACCCTGCATGTCACTATTGAAAAATGTTATAAGTGCATTGCATTACACGTTTCTCCACTGAATTTTCCGCAAAATTGCTCTTCAATTTGGCACAAATTGTGGTCTTACAGTTCTCACTTGAAAGAAACATAAGGAAATTTTGGAGTTTAGGGTTCAAATTTAGGGTTACTGCATCCTCATCAATGTAAACTCAACAACAGCCTCTAACTCTGGGCAATATTCTGAATTTTTTTATCATTATCACAATAAATTATATACAATAAGCTTTTCTGAGCAAATCGAGGATATCGTCAGTACTTAAAGAACACTAACTCATGTTTTTGTACAAGGGGGCAAAATCAGACCTGTTTAATTGGATTTAGTGCCATTATCATTATTATTAATATTATTATTATTGTATTTGTAAATTGGGCACTACAGGTTCTATTTTGTCTGTTTCAACTTCTCAGAAAAATTCAGAAAAATATCATGATGCGTATTGTGTATCATGAAAATGTCTTGAAGTATTGTGATATAATATTTTTGCCATTTCGCCCACCCCTACTTGCAACAACTCAGAGCAGACGGGTTTGTTAACAGCTGCCAGACCAACACTGCAGAGAGGATATTCAGGATCGGCCTGGTGTGAGGAGAAATTCCTAAAGGGCTAATATTGTGAAAAACTGACTTTTCCTCATTTTTTTTTTAATAAAAGGGCTTGAAGTAGTTCATAAACACTGTAAAGCTTCTGTGATGTCACCAAAACCAACACAGTGCCTTTCATGTAACAGTAGATGGACAGTGCGTCTGACAGCAGAGGGCTGGTTGGGAAAACACTGAGACTGAATGGCTCTCACCGTCTCGGACTCCAGTCTCGATGCGAGTGTGTTCGTCCGGCGGCGGAGTGGACAGATGCTGCAAGTGTCCGGCTCCAGGCAGGAAGTCATTGTTGGGGTCTTCAGCGTAGATTCGGGCTTCAAAGGAGTGACCTCGGAGCACAATGTCGTCCTGAGAGAGAGGGAGCTTCTCCCCAGCAGCCACCTGAGGTACAAAACACATTCCTATTGTTCTAATTCAAACTCTCTGGCTTGACTGTTCATGTTGACGTTTGTACCGAATTGGAATGGATCACCACACTATAAGAAATTAACATATTTACTCCCACTGAGATCTCTTCTTCTAAAAAGACTACATCTTCCACAATGCAATGCAGCAGCTAGCTACTCCTACGGGCGTGCAGATACTACAAGAGGTGTGCTGCAAATTTGTTGAGCATTTAAAAAACAGGTAAACTACCCATTTATGTAACATTAGATCGGAGTGTGACACCTTGATTAACTTATGCCTGTGCTCTCGCAGCCTACATCCTATTTTATCTTTTAGAGAGATTTTAAAGCTCTGCTGCTGGTTTTTAAAGCTCTAAATGACCTTAAAGCTCCTGAATGTCTGTCTGTTTATGATCTCAGATCTGCAGATTCTGACCTTCTGAACTCCTTCAGTAAAACACAGAAAACGTGGAGAGACTCTTTCAGTTATTCTGCTTCTAAACTGTGGAGCTCAGTTCAGCTTTTTTAGACAGTCAAGCAAGAAACTCTTTAACTTAATTCAAACTCTACGTCACTTGGTGTTTATCTTTTTAATCTGATGTGTCGTGTCATTGTTGTATATGCTTTTACATTAATACTCATAGTGTCTTCTATCACTGTTAAGTTTAGCACCTGTCTGTAAAGCACTCTGAGCTGCCATTTAAGTGATTTTAAGTGACCCTTATTAATCCCACAACGGGGAAATTTCACTTCTGCATTTAAAGCCATCCGTGCAGTGAAACACCACATACACACTGGTGAACACACACACTAGGGGCAGTGAGCACACTTGCCCAGAGCAGTGGGCAGCCCTATCCACGGTGCTCGGGGAGCAGTTGGGGGTTAGGTGTCTTGCTCAAGGACACTTCAGTCACGTACTGTCGGCTAAGGGGATCGAACCAGCGACCTTCCAGTCACGAGGCTGGCTCCCTAACCTCCAGCCCACGACTGCCCCACTGGCATGAAAAGAGCACTATAAATAAAGCTGGACCAATAGGATTTATACCATCAATTACTAAAAAGCATTTTATTTCTATCAGGTTCAGGTTCAAGTATCATGTCGGTCCTGTTTCTCACCCTGAGCTGCCACTCCACCAGGTCTGTGCCTGTGATCATCTCAGAGACGGGGTGCTCCACCTGCAGACGAGTGTTCATCTCCATGAAGTAGAAATTGTGCTGAGAGTCCATGATGAACTCCACGGTGCCTGTGAACAGAAAGCAGCACCATAAGAGCCCCGACAGACACCCTTTTACAGAGTTTATACACCAATCAGGCATAACATTATGACCACCTCCTTGTTTCTACACTCATTGTCCATTTTATCAGCTCCACTTACTATATAGGTGCACTTTGTAGTTCTACAGTTACAGACTGTAGTCCATCTGTTTCTCTGATACTTTGTTAGCCCCCTTTTACCCTGTTCTTCAGTGGTCAGGACCCCCATGGACCCTCACAGAACAGGTACTATTTGGATGGTGAATCATTCTCAGCACTGCAGTGACACTGACGTGGTGGTGGTGTGTTAGTGCGTGTTGTGCTGGTACGAGTGGATCAGACACAGCAGTGCTGCTGGAGTTTTTAAAACACTGTGTCCACTCACTGTCCACTCTATTAGACACTCCTGCCTTGACAGTTCACCTTGTAGATGTAAAGTCAGAGATGATAGCTCATCTGCTGCTGCACAGTTTGTGTTGGTCATCCTCTAGTCCTTCATCAGTGGTCACAGGACGCTGCCCACAGGACGCTGGCTGATGGACTATTCTCAGCCCAGCAGTGACACTGAGGTGTTTAAAAACTCCAGCAGCACTGCTGTGTCTGATCCACTCAGACCAGCACAACACACACTAACACACCACTACCACGTCAGTGTTACTGCAGTGCTGAGAATGATCCACCACCCAAATAGTACCTGCTCTGTGAGGGTCCATAGGGGTCCTGACCACTGAAGAACAGGGTAAAAGGGGGCTAACAAAGTATCAGAGAAACAGATGGACTACAGTCTGTAACTGTAGAACTACAAAGTGCACCTATATAGTAAGTGGAGCTGATAAAATGGACAGTGAGCATAGAAACAAGGAGGAGGTCATAATGTTATGCCTGAACAGTGCAGGTTTCAAGCAATTAAAGTTGCATGAAAGCTTCATCCTGCTAATTGGACTGCTATAAGCTTCTATTTACATGTTAGCTACTTTAGCCTACGTTGCTAAAAACAGAGGAAACTTCAGACACCAAATATGTTTAATGTAAGCATAAAATGTGTATTTTTCTTGTCAAACTATCGCTTTAATAGGCGTATTACCTGCTCCCACGTAGTTCACTGCTTTAGCTGCTCGGACTGCAGCCTCTCCCAGTTTACGCCTCACTTCAGGACTAATACCGGGCTGTGATCAAACATAAAAATAATAAAGAAAAGGAACATCACACCCCAAAAAGTGCTGAGGATATTAATACAACAAACAACACAAAAAGGCTTAGTGGTATCAGACAGAGCTGTGACTAAATCATGTAAATACATTTCATGTTGCTGCTGCATTCATACAAACTGTGGCTGCAAGAATCATATTTTTTAGGGCAGATTTCCATGTAATTTAAGATTTAATATCATGATATCTTCATTATATCACCCACCTCTAGCCATAACATTATTTATGAAATATTAACTGAACCGTAGAACTGCAGCACACAAAGTAAGGAGTATGATACGTGTTTGTCTCATAAGCTTTAAAAGTCAAATAGCAAAAATTAGCATTATGCTGGTGGCTGTTTATACTTAACACACAACCCGCAATCAGACAATTCCAGCTGAGGCAGATTCCGGCTCTTTGAGGTTTGCATTAGTGAGTGTGCCAGTGTTCTGTAACAGAAGATTATCAGGACGTATTAAAGAGATGAACAGCCACGCTCACCCCTGGCGCCTCCTCGATGATCTTCTGATGTCTCCTCTGCACGCTGCAGTCCCTCTCGAACAGGTACACCGCATTGCCATGCTGATCTCCAAACACCTGCACCTCCACATGCCTCAACAGAACAGAATCAGGTATAAACAAATCATCAAAAAAGCAGAGCAGAATTTGTTTAGGAGTCAAGTAGGGACGTGCATTTAGACTAATTTTGATATTTGAGTATACATAATAGTGCATATTTATTGTTTTACATTTCCTATTCTTATTAACTATGTTTATTATTTCATCCCTATTTGATCTGTTATTTATTAAGTCATTTTATTTTTGCAATTTTAAGTTTATTCTGATTTGATTTGTACTATTAAATTTACTATTACAATGATTATTGTTATTATTATTATTATTTTTAAATTTAGCTTATGTTTTTACTCTGATTTCTGTACTGGCTCTGCTACACTGTAAATGAGGGTCAACCTCAATGAGTGTAAATAAAAGTTAATCGACTGACTGACTGATTGACAAACATCATGTGGTTAATTGAGTACGCACACATATCCGCAGTGTGAAAGCACAGTCATACTTCAGACAGTTATTCAGAGTGTTGGTATGTCATCAGACAGAAAAAAAAAGTTAAGATGCAATACGATTCCACGCTGTTTGTGTCTATTCAAATGTTATATATATATATATATATATATATATATATATATATATATATATATTTTCTGGTACCGCTGTCAGTTTCACACATGCACAGACTGAGAAATCCGAAAGAAATCGGACTAAGAGTTTACATGCACTGAGAAATCTGATTACTGAGCTGAAATCCAGCCTCTTCATCGGATTTCTACATCGGAGTATGGTGTTTACATGACCATTTGAATAATCAGATAACTGCAGAAATCAGACGTAAATGCACTCAATATGTGAAACAGTTTAAAAATATGCTGGATTACTCAGTGCTATATAATTTATGTGTGTTTTATCAAAGGTTTTAATTAAAACAGTTAATGTAAAATAAAATTAAAAAAAAACGAACTGAAAATAAAATAGAAAGAAAGTCAAAGCTGGACCATGTGTTGGGTTGGGGGGGTATAATCAACAATCGCGATTTTTTTAAACAAAAAAAAATGATGCTAATTATCTTTAGATAGGCCTAAACCTTTGCACAGTGCTGTACGTGCAGCTATTACAATGCTAGCCTTACCTGGGGTTCTCCACAAACTTCTCCACCAGCATGACGTCATCGTTGAATGACTTGCGGGCTTCTCTTCGCGCCGACTCCAGCTGCTCATGAAACTCGGCTTCAGAGCGTGCGATGCGCATTCCCTACGAGAGACGAGAGTCAGCCTAAAAATGCATTTGTCGGTATGTAAAGACCTCCACAAACACGGCTTACTTTCCCACCTCCACCTCGTACGGCTTTGATCATAACCGGGTAGCCGATCCTGGCAGCTTCGGCCTGAAGCCTCTCGTCTGATTGGTCCTCTCCATGGTAGCCCTCAATGATCGGCACGCCAGCAGCAGACATGATGTGTTTGGAAGTGCTGATAAAAAACAAGCAAAATGAATAAAAGCGTCCAACACTGGTAAACGTTTCGTCTCATTCAGGAATCAGACATCACTGCGGAGTGAAAAGTCTCTGGCGGGCACCTTTTGATGCCCATGTCTCGGATAGCTGATGAAGGTGGGCCGATGAAAATGATGCCTTCCTGTTTGCACAATTCTGCAAACTCTGTGTTCTCGGAGAGGAAACCGTATCCGGGATGGACAGCCTGTAGCAAGACACACAGATCTGAACAGGGCTCGGCATGCGACACGGCAAAAATCTCATACCACAATGCATGAATATGTTTTTATAATACGGGATATTTCACTTTTCTGAGGTTTAGTAAGACAGAAGAGACACAGTGCACCAAGTAGAGACACCCAGACATGCTGTCAGAATCATGGGGTTGTGATGCACTTTTTTACTGAGTGTTTTGCATAAAACAAAAACTGCTAACCAAAACGTTTCTTGGTGCTTTGTGATACGCTGGAGTAAGAAAAATAAAAATCACAAGATAATATTAAATAATATAGATTATAAAACAGATTCTGGTCCTAAAATCTGATTGGAGCTGCGTTCGAAGTCGTTGTAAAATCCACGATACACCACGGCTCCGACCGCCTCACAGCAACTGAACTCTGTATCACTGCGCCACGGCACGAAAACAACCCTTGTGCTGTTAATGGAATAATCTCTGACTCTAATGCTGATCACACGGAGCACCGAGTGTACTGATGAAATAAGAACCCAGTTCTGTTTAAACTGAGGGGCTGACAACTTATTTTCTTATCTAGAACTAGGCTGGTCAGCCAGCCAACAGGCTAAAAGATAAGCATGCTGAACAACTCCATCATTAATATCACAGGCTTGAATTAAAGGACTCACAATATGATTCACTTAAAAACAGCAGTATAAAAGTCTAAAGAATGTCACCTGAATGTCTCACACGCTTCAAATGTCTGTGTTTTAGTCAGAAGTCACGTCAAACCCAGGCTGAGTCCCAAACGGCTCCATACTCCCTAGTTAAATAGTGAGCTGTGTGACATTAAGTTTAGAAATTCTAGCTTCTGCTGTTAAATACTGCACTGCCTGTTGAGTCTGAATGTGTCTGAATCCCAAATGACCATTTTTAGTGATATTTTGCTCTGTTGGGCTGCAGGAGTATTTAAACTCCTATGTAGTGCACTATGTAGGGAGCAGGGAGGCGTTTGAGATTCAGCCCCAGCGTGAGAAAAGTGGCGTCGTCAGACTGACAGAGACTCGTGGTGGTGATTTGGTGACCAAATAGTACTTATAAACTGAAAGTTTTTGCATTAAACAGAGCTGTGATATCATATGTTCACTGTTATAAGAAAAAGTTGTATAAAAAAAAAAAAAACATGAAATGACCGCAGTGTACAGCGATTGGTGACCAAACATTGTCCTCATTCAGCGGTCAATGGTTGCTTAGCAACGCTACCGCACTCGAAAGGAACTACACTGCTCAAAAAAATAAAGGGAACACTTAAACAACACAATATAACTCCAAGTAAATCAAACTTCTGTGAAATCAAACTGTCCACTTAGGAAGCAACACTGATTGACAATCAATTTCACATGCTGTTGTGCAAATGGAATAGACAACAGGTGGAAATCATTGGCGATTAGCAAGACACACTCAATAAAGGAGTGGTTCTGCAGGTGGGGACCACAGACCACTTCTCAGTACCTATGCTTTCTGGCTGATGTTTTGGTCACTTTTGAATGTTGGTGGTGCTTTCACACTCGTGGTAGCATGAGACGGACTCTACAACCCACACAAGTGGCTCAGGTAGTGCAGCTCATCCAGGATGGCACATCAATGCGAGCTGTGGCAAGAAGGTTTGCTGTGTCTGTCAGCGTAGTGTCCAGGCGCTACCAGTAGACAGGCCAGTACACCAGGAGACGTGGAGGAGGCCGTAGGAGGGCAACAACCCAGCAGCAGGACCGCTACCTCCGCCTTTGTGCAAGGAGGAACAGGAGGAGCACTGCCAGAGCCCTGCAAAATGATCTCCAGCAGGCCACAAATGTGCATGTGTCTGCACAAACAGTTAGAAACCGACTCCATGAGGATGGTACGAGGGCCTGACGTCCACAGATGGGGGTTGTGCTCACAGCCCAACACCGTGCAGGACGCTTGGCATTTGCCAGAGAACACCAGGATTGGCAAATTCGCCACTGGCGCCCTGTGCTCTTCACAGATGAAAGCAGGTTCACACTGAGCACATGTGACAGACGTGACAGAGTCTGGAGACGCCGTGGAGAGCGATCTGCTGCCTGCAACATCCTTCAGCATGACCGGTTTGGCAGTGGGTCAGTAATGGTGTGGGGTGGCATTTCTTTGGAGGGCCGCACAGCCCTCCATGTGCTCGCCAGAGGTAGCCTGACTGCCATTAGGTACCGAGATGAGATCCTTAGACCCCTTGTGAGACCATATGCTGGTGTGGTTGGCCCTGGGTTCCTCCTAATGCAGGACAATGCTAGACCTCATGTGGCTGGAGTGTGTCAGCAGTTACTGCAAGATGAAGGCCTTGAAGCTATGGACTGGCCCGCCCGTTCCCCAGACCTGAATCCGATTGAGCACATTTGGGAAATCATGTCTCGCTCCATCCACCAATGTCACATTGCACCACAGACTGTCCAGGATTTGGCGGATGCTTTAGTCCAGGTCTGGGAGGAGATCCCTCAGGAGACCATCCACCACCTCATCAGGAGCATGCCCAGGCATTGTAGGGAGGTCATACAGGCATGTGGAGGCCACACACAATACTGAGCCTCATTTTGACTTGTTTTAAGGACATTACATCAAACTTGGATCAGCCTGTAGTGTGTTTTTCCACTTTAATTTTGTGTGTGACTCCAAATCCAGGCCTCCATTGGTTAATAAATTTGATTTCCATTGATGATTTTTGTGTGATTTTGTTGTCAGTACATTCAACTTTGTACAGAACAAAGTATTCAATGAGAATATTTCATTCATTCAGATCTAGAATGTGTTATTTGAGTGTTCCCTTTATTTTTTTGAGCAGTGTACATTTCTTGACAGAATACTTGTTTATGTTGGTTATTATTAATAACAACATAAAGAATTATCAGAAGCATTGTGTATTTTAATATATTTCATGTTGGCCGCCGTTTTATAAAAGCAATAAGCCACTTGAGGCTGTGCATTACTGTGATTTTATCACGAGGAAGGGAGTTTTAGGCGCTCCGCTTCAAGTCGAAGCAGGTAATAGAGAACATGGCAGGGTAAAGTTGCAATGAGAAGGTAAGATTAGCTCGGTGGTAAGCCGTACGTTAGAGAGAAGAGATGGATTTCAAGATTTTATTTAAATATGAAAAGAGAATTAGCCTGCTGGACACCTGGAGGAAGAGAGTTTGAGACGAGGAGCAAATCTAGAAAATAGATCACTAAAAAAAGTCATTCAGAGTGGTTTCATGTGAAGTGCTCCATTTTAGAGAAGCTGGTCAAGTCAGATGTCTTTACAGTGGTGGTAATAGGAACCAAGGATTGCGATGTCTACAACACAAATATAGACATTTTGTTCACCATCCAAAACCACCAGTGAACCTACACACAAGTTTTATACAACCTCATTTCGAAAAATGTTCGGACTCTGTGCAGAATGTAAATAAAAAAGGAAAATACTACAACATATCAAACAAGACAACATATCAAATGTTGAAACTGAGAAATTTTATTGTTTTTTGAAAAATATACGCTCCCATTTTCAATTTGATGCCAACAACACTTTTCAAAAAACGGGGTTGGGACGGGGGCCTGTTTACCACTGTGCTTCATCACCTCTTCTTTAACAACACTCTGTAAGCATTTGGGAACTGAGGAGACACTGCTGTAGTTTTTAAAGTGAAATGTTTTCCTGTTCTTGTTTGATACAGGATTTCAGCTGCTCATCAGTTCAGAGTCTCCTTTGTCGTATTTCTCATTTCATAATGTGCCAAATGCCTTCAGTGGTGACAGGTCTGGACTGCAGGCAGGTCAGTTCAGCACCCGGACTCTTTTAATACGGAGCAATGCTGCTGTAATACATGCAGAATGTGGTTTGACATTGTCTTACTGAAATAATCAAGGCCTTCCCTGAAAAAGACGTCGTCTGGATGGCAGCATATGTTGCCAAAACATGTATATATCGTTCAGCATTAATGGTGCCTTCACAGATGTGAACGTCACCCATGCCATGTGCACTAATGCCCCCCTATACCATCATGAATACTGGCTTTTGAACTGTGCACTGATAACAAGCTGAGTGGTCTTTAGCCCAGAGGACACAGTGTCCATGATTTCCAAAAAGAATTTCAAATGTTGATTCGTCGGACCACAGGACACTTTTCCACTTCCCTTCAGTCCATTTTAAATGAGCTCAGGCCCAGAGAAGGTGGCAGCATTTCTGGATCCTGTTTATATTTGGTTTCTTCTTTGCGTTTTAGAGTTTTAACTTGCATTTGTGGATGCAGTGACAAACTGTTTTCACAGACAGTGTTTCTGAGCTCATGCAGTGATTTCCACTACAGAATCATGTCCGTTTTTAATGCAGTGCTGTCTGAGGGCCGAAAGATCACGGTCAGCAAATACTGGTTTTTGGCCTTGTCCCTTACATACAGAGATTTCTCCAGATTCTCAGAGTCTTTTAATGTTATTAAGTACCGTAGATGATGAAAAGCAAAAGTTCTTTGCTATTTTGAGAAACGTTATTCTTGAATTGTTGCACTATTTGATCATGCAGTCTTTCACAGAGTGGTGAACCCCTCCTCATCTTTACTTCTGAAAGACTCTTTTTATACCCAATCATGTTACTGACCTGTTGCCAGTCAACCACCAAGTGTTTTTTTTTTAGCACTGCACAACTTCACCAGTCTTTTGTTGACCCTGTACCAACTTTTTTGGAAAGTGTCGTTGGCATCAAATTCAAAATGGGCATTTTTTTTTCAAAAAAACAATAAAATTTCTCAGTTTCAACATTTGATTTGTTGTCTTTGTACTATTTTCAATTTAACCTAGGGTTTAAACGATGTGCACATTATTGCATTTTGTTTTTATTTACATTTTGCACAGCCTCCCAACTTTTTTGGAAATGGAGTTGTATATGTAACGTTGATGATTGTGGTAAAACTGAGAAAAATAATCTTTTTTGGGGACTTTTTTTGTCCTAAATGTACCTCTTAGCCATTAATATTTATTTAAAATATCGTTTTAGGCCCAAAACTAAAGACTCCCTGTCTCAGGAATTTAATGCTTCAGCCCTCTGGTTCCTATCACCACCACTGTGAACAATTCTGACAATATTCTCTAGAGCAGTGCACTTCCTATCAAACCACTCGGGTTTTCATTTTATACATCTTCACAAATACGCAGAAATTTAGTGCCACTAGTAGATTATCTACAAACAAAAATGTGGTCATCTGTGTTTCACATTAAATATTTCTGCTGAGACTACAATTCTGTAATCAACTGAAGTCATTATTACCTTTTAGAAATATATATGTAGCATGCTGTGGCCTGAAGGGCCTTGTTGCCAGAAAATGTGGAGAGACTCGTTCAGTTATTGTGCTTCTCAACTGTGGAGCTATAGGAGTTTTGGGTTTGCTGTTGGCTCTAATGCTGAAACAATCAGCAGCAGTTAACAGGAACTAAATTCATAAGACCATGGCTAATATCTGGCTAACACCATCTGATGTATTAAAAACACAGTCTGACCAGTCGACAGTGTGAGTCAGAGCCATTTGCTTCTAACATCAGAGCCAGGCACAAATAATAGAAGCATATAAATAAGCGAACAAACTCAAAACATATGATAAACTTGAAATAATAAAGCAGAAAGCACTGTATATGCAGTTTTGGATTGTGCATTGCACTAAAAACCTCAGAAAAATGTAACACCATGGTGCGTATCGTGTACTGTAAACCCTGTGAGTGAACGGGGACGTTACCTGCGCAGAGGACTTCTTAGCAACTTCCAGAACTTTCTCCATACACAAATAACTCTGCTGTGATGGAGCTGCTCCGATGTGATAGGCTTCATCTGCCTGAATTTAAATAATAATACCTATTTCATGTCATGTTGAAATATCATCAACTATAAGAAAGCATTTTATCAAATATTGATATCAGTTACAAAATGAAATGCACAATATTTTTATACTTTAAACGCAGTTTAGATCAGAGAGATGCTTTTTGTTCCGTGATCGTTTTCACAGTTGTGTTTGCAACATGTTTGCGCTGAGAAAATGTTAACATTGCAACACTTGAAGAGTGACCACAACGTCTCTTTTTCTCACCATGGCCACATGCATAGAATGCCTGTCAGCATCACTGTACACAGCCACCGACCGGACACCCATCTTTTTCGCTGTCCGCATCACTCTGCACGCTATTTCTCCTCTGTTGGCGATGAGGACTTTCTCGATCCTCCCTGCAGACACAAAAAATTAAAAAGTAGCTTTTTATCATTTGAGAAAATCACTAAAGTTCGGCCTTTTTCTCAGTTGATCACTGTAATGATCTTATTGGACTTCCTAAGAAAACAATACGTCCATTAGAACTCGAACAAAACGCAGAAGCATCCTAACAAAAACTACACAGAGAGATCAGATCAGCCCTGCTTTAAAAGAGCTGCACTGACTTCCTGTATCGTTCAGGATAGACTTTAAAGCTCTGCTACTAGTTTTTAAAGCTCAAAATGACCTTAAAGCTCCTGAACATCTGTTTATGATCTTAGATCTGCAGATTCTGACCTTCTGAACTCCTTTAGTAAAACACAGAAAACATGGAGAGACTCTTTCAGTTATTCTGCTTCTAAACTGTGGAGCTCAGTTCAGCTTTTATTAGACAGTCGAGCTCAGAGCTCACTTTTAATAAACATCTGAAAGCGCAGTTTTTTAACTCAGCGCTGCATTAAAACTATGTCTCGTGGTGTTTATCTTTTAATTAAATTTTATATGAATCTATATTAATACTTAATAATTTCTTGGATTACTGTTAAACTTTATCACCTGTCGTAAACAATATAAATATTTTTTTTTATTTATTAAATTATTGCATAAAGATTATGTGTAAAGCACTTTGAGATTAAAATAAAAGCAATGAGACTAAAATAAAAAGTGCAGTATTTTTATTTTTATTGTTGTTACAACAAATTGCACTACAATATGCTTTTGTGAATGTATTACAGATGTCGGCACTGCTTCTCAAATACTGAACAACTGCATAACTTAAAACTGCTTAACATAAAAACACAGATTTAATCAAGTATAGAGCCTGTAAACAACAGCAAGTCTGAATCGAGGTACACAGATATAAAAAATTGGCTCAGGCCGATGAATCTTGTGGCCAACAGTAAACATTTGTAGCCACAATAATACAAAAAAAAGGTGTTTGTCAAAAAAACTTGACAACACACTTAAACTGCGATGTCAGCAGGGACGGCACTGCGGCTGCAGTCAGAGCCTCTCAGTTTTTGGACTGTTTGACTGTCTTTTCTTAAACTGTACAATTCTGCAAACTTTTATAGCCTTTCTGAAATGTAGCATTGCTGTTTTCCCGGTGCGTTTTACCTAGCGCAATTTTATTCTATAAAATATTTTTTTTTTAATTCTGCGTAATTAAATGGTTAAGATGTAAACAAAGTCAGAAATGCTTAATTCTAGAGAAACTTAGTAAGTCAGAATTTTTCACAGCGGTGGTGATAGGAACCAGACGTCTGAAGCTCCTTCACAGAAAGTTATTACATAAAACGGTTATGAATACTCAGCCTGATGTCTGAGACACTGTTTTACAGTAGTTTTGAGATAAGGTTTTGACCTAAAACGAATTTTAATCAATTCATACTAATCTGTTCATGGTGGAGGGATACATCAAGGGTGTTCTAAGGCAAAATAGTCCTCAAAGACAACTTTTTTTTCCAGATGTACCACTATTTTACCATCATCAACATTACATATAAAAACCTCAGAAGACTTGTGTATATTGGTGGTTTTGGATAGTAAACAAAAGGTCTATATCTGTGTTGTAGTCATGGTGACCCCTGGTTCCCATCACCACCACTGTGAAGAAAACAGAGGCAGTAAGTTTCTCTACAAATGAACCATTTCAAATCAAACCACTCTGAATGACATTGTTTACGTTTCAACCACTGAACTATGCAGAGATTTAGAAAAATTGGTGGTTCCCCTTTAAAGAGTCCAATTTTCAGATCGCGAGAGCTGCGTTGTTTATTAAAGAATACATTATCACGATTTTAACCTAATAACTCAGAGCTTGTGAACTGCTTGTAGATGAGTTGGACCAATCAAAAGCACCAAAACACCCATGTTCTATATATGTGATATCACAACCAACTGGTATTCTGCCACACTCTTCAACTTCATACCATAAAAAGTGGATATTCTAATCTTTTTAGCTAAAAAAACAGGCCTGGAAAGAAATGTATAGAAAATAACTGCATTTAAATCACAATCGGAATAATGGTCAGGAAAATCGCAATTTGATATTTTCCCCAAATCGCTCAGCCCTAATTCTGCCTGCTCAAATTCTCAGAAAAACGAAATATTGAGATACTTTTTTGTGAATCATGAGAACTTCTTCTATATTATGGTGTTAGACTTTGTCCTACCACCCACTCTAAACAGCAGCTGTGGCAAGACAGCAGCCAGCATAATGTACATCATCTAAACTGAGATCATTGTTGAGATTGTGTTGATCATGTTGCAGCCAAGAGGGGGCCAGAGGTGGCCGGTGCCACCCTAGCATGAAACATGGCCACACTTCAGGTCACACACTTACGGAGACAGTCAGCCACACAGGCAGCGATGAAAATCTGCCATCTGGTTAATTACCAGTCAGTTATAAGTTAATTAATACTGTTTAATTAATAATTAGAGTATCTTGCTGTGATTGGCTCGTCTGCAGCAGTGCTGCTCTGCGTTTGCCATACTAACTATCTACTCTTTCTCTTTCTTAACTCAGATAAAACAGAGGTTCTACTTCTTGGCCCTAAAGCAGCTAGAAGCAAACTGTCTAATTTAACACTTAAACTTAACAATTTCTCAGTTGCATCAAGCTCACCTGTGAAAAACCTTGGTGTCATTATAGACCCTGATCTGTCCTTCGACGCACACATAACTAATATTACTAGAACAGCCTTCCTGCATCTCCGCAATATTGCTAAATTGAGAAATGCATTCTCTCTACAGGATGCAGAAAAGTTAGTTCATGCATTTAATACTTCAAGGCTAGATTACTGTAATGCCCTGCTGGCTGGATGTTCCAGCAAAAGCCTTAACAAGCTTCAGTTAGTCCAGAACGCTGCAGCCAGAGTCTCACAAGAACCAGAAAGTTTGACTATGAACCATCACGCCTACTTAGATCACAAGGTGCTGCTCACTATTAGTACCTAGAATTAATAAGGTTACGTCAGGGGGGAGAGGCTTCTCATACAAAGCCCCCCAGCTTTGGAATAGTCTTCCTGTTAATGTTCAGGACTCAGACACAGCCTCAGTCTTTAAGTCTAGGCTAAAAACCTACTTGTATAGTCAAGCCTTTGGTAATTAGTCTTCCCTGTCGGTTCTATACCTGCCAGAGTCTCCTCTGCTCTGCTAACACTGTAATCTGTGATCAGTCACCCATTACAGAACTGACTCTCTGTGTTTTTCCTTTCTTTCTTTTCTTTGCTGAGTTGATCAGCTGCCCATCCTGTGTGTCTGACGCTGCTGCCTCTTCTGCCTTGATCGGGTGCCACTGCTCGCCAGCCCTCTGGACCGGCTTGACCACCATCGAGCTTCATGCTGTACAACGCCGTGCAAACCTCACCCTCACAACCTGACCCCACTGATGCTGCTGCTGCATGAACTAAACTAATCAAATTAATCATTTACTCCACCTAACTACAAATTTCTGTAGCTAATAGCCGTAGCCGCTACAGCTTTATGAAATGTAGCTAATAGCTGTAGCGCCTACAATTAGCACTACAATTTCGCTACAGGCTTCAGTCAATCTGCGCAAAATCTGAACCATAGAACGCGGCCATTAACTGGGCTGGCAGCGACTGTGCAATCCTGACTGAGCCGCGGACAGTTCGAGCAAACGGTCACGCGCTGATCACCCCGTACTAGCAGGCTTAGCTCAGGGGTCGCTTAAAAAGAGCCACTTTGTCCTTTCAAGAAAAATTAAAACATCTTGGGAGCCACAACATTTGGCTGTAAATGTGTCTCAGTATCTGCTGATGTACTAATAGAGGCTAAAAGTATAATGTAAACACAAACGCAGACGTACTTCGCTCTGCTTTAAGCCTTAGCTCAGCTGTAGCCGCTTTTCTCGCATCTCCAGCAGGAAACTTTTCCACAAAAGTAGAACAGTTTCTTGTAAAATGTCTCTCAATGTTTGACTCTTTACGAAACTGAAGTCCGTCACTGCCTGAGGCGCCTAAATGTACTGCTGCGCCTTTTAAGGTGGAACGGGAAAATTCGAATGAGGAGCGACTTCAGTCTTGTGACTTTTTAGTGTTTGTCAGTTTCTCGCTGCAGATTAAACGTATCAGGAAACCAGCTGGAGTGATTATAAACACAAATCAGTCCATTCATCTCCAAATTATCGATGTTCGTCTTAAATCTCTCTCTTTGCCGTTTCGTTAGCTACTAGCTGGGCGAGACTGTTGTCTGTGTTGCTATGGTGACCAGCAGTCTGCGCTGATCTTCAGGGTTAAAGGGTGAATTAGCAGTTCTACATTAACTCCAGAGTTTATTGTTAAACTGGGTTGAACGATCAGCAGAGCTTTATTTTACTGTAAAGGAGGATTATTTTATTTTACCTAAAAATCTAATTCTGCAGTGGAGCTTCAACAGGGCAGTAAAAGAGCTGTGTGTTGCCGACCCCTGGATTAGCTAAAGCAATAAAAACATTTTCCTAATAGACTATTACTAACAGTACTGCGCAGAGCCAGAGTCACTGATGAGAGTTTTTAGGCGAAGGTGTTGCTGAAGTTTAAAGGACTCTCAGTGTCATGTCTGTACAGATCTTGCTGAAATGTGTAAATTGGAGCAGTTTTATTTTGACAGTTGACAATGTTTTGCACAAAGTTGTTTGGTTTGTATTCGGCTGTTTTTGTTGATTTTTGTTAGGAAAAGCCTGGAATGATTGACTTTGCCTTTAGTCTTAATTTTTGTTGGATATCACGCCTTTGGTTGTGTGCTTCTTTCTGGCACATGATTAAATGCAGTGTCTTGTTCCCACTGTCAGTTGGGCTTGTCTGGTGTGTGGCTGGAGATTCACAAGCATTCTGACAATCGAGTTTGAAAGTAGCTAAAAAGTAGCCACTACTTTTTCTAGAAAAGTAGGTAAATTGCAGCAGCTACACATTTTGGGAAAGTAGCTACAAAGTAGCCACTACTAATTTTTCAGTAGCTTTCCCAACCCTGCTTGTGTTGTAGGTTACTCTCTTAAAGACGGTTCTTCAAGGGTTCTTTATTAAAGGCAATGGTGCTTGAAAAGGGGTTTATATAGCACCAAAAAGTGTTCTACTATTGTTACAACATATTCAAAAAACATGTTGTTTATCAGAGACCACGAACACTCAAAGAACCCTTGGCATGATCAAAGGTTTTTTTTCCATGGTGAAATGGTTCTTCAGATTGATGGAGATGAGTTTTATATGGTTCTATATAGAAACTTTTCCAAAAGAGCTCTATATAGCACCCAAAAAGATTCTTCTAGTCTTCTAGTCTTATGAGCTTGACATCGTAACAATCGCAGAACCCTTTTTGGTGCTAACACATTTTCCATCAATCTGAAGAACAATTTCAACATGGATAGAACCATTTAAGCACTAAATTGTTCTACACAGAATTCAAGGTTCTAAACAGAACAGTGAATATCTTCTATAGACTTAATACATGAAACTTTTTTCTTAAAGTTTTTTTTTCTTAAAAATCCTTTGCACTGAAAAAAAGTGAAATATTTAATTTACGTGATACAAACACAGGATTTCCTCAGGAATGATTAAAATGCATTGCATCAATTTTGTCTTTCAGTTGAAGGATCTGCTGTATTATACATTCTATGTGTAACGTTATGTTCAGTATTATGCGTTATGTATGTGATCTGTGTATGTTTTATGTGAGCTGAGAGAACAACGGGAGGACGTTGTGAACATTGTGGTTTAGCAATGGTCCAGGCAACAATGTGCCTGAGCCAGCCTATATAAACACGGCCATCTTCTATGTCGAGTGGGCCAGCATGTCATCTGTGGACCGTGTGCACAACGAAAAAATAAAGATCAGTGCTACAAACGCAAGGCTGGCCTCCTGGTCATGGTTCTAAAGAAAGAGGGGTCTAAAAATACTACACAATTTACTTTTGGCAATAACTGTGTGATGGACGGATTTATTTATGCACAGAGAAAAAAACGTCATTTTAATTCAGCAACGCTAATTTATTTTGTTTTTTCTTCTAGCAGCATACCACCCCAATAAAATCTCTGGGTTTAACGTGGTCACCCCACTCTGAAAGCTCTAGCTATGCCCCTGGTTGCACTTACCCACTGATGCATGCCTGACACAACTCTTGGTCCATATTAGTTTCCTGTGTTGGACAGAGAGAGAGAGAGAGAGAGAGAGAGACAGAGAGAGAGAGAGAGAGAGAGAGAGAGAGAGAGAGAACACTAGAAGTCAAGACTTTTCACTTCAGAATGAGGCAGGTTTTGAAAACAAACAGACTTTCCACTGTACAGGACAAAACGCTTAGGAGTGAGAGGACTTCAGAGGTCGTATTCAGTTGAAAGGGGGATTCAAAAGTATGGAAGCCCATTTACACCATTGGAAAAAAAAATATTTATTGCTGCTGTCGGAACAAAACCTTATATCTCCATCTTTGTCGTTGTTTAATTTTTTGACATAATTTGAAAATACCTGTTGCCCTTTACATTGTGTGTGAATTTCATTAAGAATGAACCAAAAGAAACGGCCCAAAATGACTTGAAAAAATGTCTGGTTCCATTGACATTTACATTAAAAGTAAAGTCGGTTTTTTCCTTCTCCTGCAAAGTTACTGTTTTGGAGGCACGATGTTTTCTTCCGACGACAGCGATATATGGCCATTTAGTTAGTCATAATAATGAGAAAGTTTAATATAAGATGAACTTTGTCCATCCCAGAGGAAATTCTTGTGCCAAAGGCTGCTCAGAAAAAATACAACATTAAGATAAAAACAACAGAGTAATAAATAAACCACCAGCGCCTAAAACATGACAATAAAAATAGAACAAATTTAGTAAAAATAAGTAAGCTAACATAGAAAAGCTGAAAAGTAATATTGCACATGATATTAACCGTCATGCTGGCAATGATATTGAAAGCTAATAAAAAGTAATTACTGCACAATATTGAAAAGTAATATTATATAAATGTAAATACAACGTTATTTATAATTATAACTTACTTTCTCATAAGTACGAAAACATTTCTCAGTATTAAGAGATACATAGTCATAGGGGTGGGCAATATGACAATATTTTATCATTATCGTGATAAACAATGGCACAATATGCCAGATATAGTCAGTATTTAGAGAACACTGACTAACTACATGTCTCATTACAAACTGAGTATAATTAGGCCTGTTTAATTGGATTTAGTGCAGCGTGGTTTGTAAAATGTTGAATAAGTATCATTTTAGTTGTAGGATCTTTTTATTATTATTATTATTATTATTATTATTACTATTATATTTGGTGTGTGTGGCACTACAGGTTCCGTTCTGTTCGCAGTTGTTAAATCTTAGAAAAACTAATCGTGATGCATATCATGTGTTGTGAAAATATACTGAAGTATCGTGATGTATTGTTTTTGCCATATCGCCCACCCCTACCAAGTCATAACTGTAAGAGTATATATGCCTATACACTTTTCTCCAGTGGAGGAAACATGCTTCCATACAAAAGCCATGCTGGGTTCATAAACTACTCAGATACATCCACCTTCAGCCAAACACCCCAAACTCATCCAACTTAGTAGGTGTCTTTCACCTTGCAGCTGAACTTGCTCTGCACACAGAGTGGCTGCAAAAGCGTAGGGTTATTTTGAGAACCTGTGAAGCAGCTGAAGGAGAGCAAATGAGGCTGAACACGTTTTTCTGAGCTGTTTTTGGTGTTAAATGTCTGTTTGCAGGGCGGTTTAGTCAGTTAACTTAACAAATTCAGCAGAAATCAGCTGCAGCCAGGCAACTCTGTCAGTTTTGCAATGAATTTAGGAGATAAACACAACCAGTTCTCCCCAGTTCATGCACACACGTCACTGTCCGTTAAATGAACGAATGCCAGACGTGTCCAGTGCAGATAAAGAGCTTAAATGAGTAAAATCTTACTGTATCTGAGCTCTCAGTCCACGGCTGAGCGGTGTTTTCAGGACAGCTGCCATCTTCTCAAGCTAAGCTAAGCTAAGCTAAGCTAACAGACTGGCTTCAACTGGACGCTTAAAATCGACTCATTTCCATCGACTTCTTTATCAGATATCACTGCTTCATATGCTGTGATGAAGCAGAGGTGGATCAGCTGTTTATTCCGGATCTCCGACGGAACAGAGCTCAAATAATGATGCAGATAATAATGAAAGGTTAGCTAATGTTGGCTAACGAGCTACAGGGTTTGAGCCTCACGGCGCCCCGTAGCTCATTTCAACCAATAGGAGTAAAGGATGCGGAGGCGTGGAGGAAGCTTATTTTGATGTTGTTAATTATTAAGATTTTATTTTATCTGTAACACATTTAATTTATGAAAACTCATGTTCAAATTTAATTCCAAAAATGTCGGTGTTTAAAATAAAAATGGAGCACTGAATCTCCTAAATTAATAAATGATTACTTTCCTCAAAAATCTGGAGCTTTGCGATGTATTTTGAATCCCTCCGGTTATAATTATAAGACGTTTTATTATTATTATTATTATTATTATTATTAATAATAATCTAGTGGTTATTTATTTATTTGATTGTATTTCACTTTGTGTTATTTCAGATTATTTGGCTGCTGTTAATTTACCCATTTCGTGCAGCAGCAATGCGTATTGTACTGATGTGTGTTGTAATTGTAGATGTTTAAAAACTCTGCTGTGTCTGATCCACTCGCACCAGCGCAACACACACTAACACACCACCACCATGTCGATGTCACTACAGTGCTGAGAATGATCCACCACCCAAATAGTACCTGCTCTGTGGGGTCCTGACCACTGAAGAACAGGGTAACCGCGTATGCAGAGAAACAGATGGACTGCAGTCTGTAACTGTAGAACTACATGTGTAACTATATGCTGGAGCTGATAAAATGGACAGTGAGTGTAGAAACAAGGAGGTGGATCTAATGTTATGGCTGATTGGTATATCTTGTGGTCAGTGAATACATATATATATATATATATATATATATATATATATATATATATATATACACACATTTCAGTTACACTGTTATGTACCACAGGATACTACACAAATGTTATAACCTGCATCACTCTAAGATTACAGGAGTATTATAGGGTGGTGAAAAACATATCACAGAAATATTTTACAGCTCTACAAAAATCTTGCAGGTTTTTACTGTATTACTACAGGGAAAGTTCATTTTAAGGGAAAAAGTTTACCATAAGGAGAAAAAGAAAAAGTAATGTAGAGAAAATACATGTTTATGAAATAAAGGACCAAATTCCACATTCAGTTTTCATATTTTTACTGCAAGTAATGCCAAACTCTCACACACTCACACTGAAATCAGTGAAACAAGTTAGTTGCTTTAGCTACTTATGCAAGCCGATGCTTTACATTATTACGCATCAAACCACAAGCCCAAATTTCACAACCTGAGGACACCAATTCCTCTTCATACACACAACAAAAAGCCAGCAGTGCTTAAGTGAAGGTAAAGAACCACATTTACAGCCTGTGTATGATGGAAAACCTAAAAAAAAAACATTTGTGAATGTAAAATCATGTACTGTTTTA